TCGGGGTAAAATTAGAATTTTTTGACATTTCACTGCTGCATTACCATTGCAGAAGAACACACCACACTTTAGTTGACAGTGAGATTTAGCATATTTGTCAGTACAGTTGAAACACCAAGTATAATCTTTTTACATTGGAAATCAAACCCGTCTCTTTTGAAACACCAATAAAGAGTGAACACCTCCTGGTCAAAAGCCATTTGCAATCATACAAACAATTGAACATATATTTTTTAAAACTTTATTCCAATATTTAGGCAAAAGCTTATTGTTTACTCTCCATAAACTACATTTCATGAAGTATATGAAAAAGTATAAAATAATACACAAAAGCCATAAAACTTTGAGACCGGTGGAATGCCACAATGTGTAAAAGAAATATATCTTTCCTAATCACAAACAGCTCATCTCAACTGCTTTCCGCAATCAGCAGAGAGAATAAATTATGCAGCTTCATTCACATTTGCAACAGTAAAAACGGATATTTTTCTGATGGATACTTTAAAATATCAAGGTCACTTTATGGTCAAATGGGAGCCTCAGTTTGAGGTATGATATCTTGATATCTGTCATATCTATTCAGATTGGCAATACAGTGTGACATATTGGACTACCTCATATATAGTACATTATGTACTGATAATTGTACTCTGTGTGTGTGTGTGTGTGTGTGTGTGTGTGTGTGTCTGTCTGTGTGTGTGTGTGTGTGTGTGTGTGTGTGTGTGTCAGTCACACATATTGGTTACATGATACACCTACTTGAATACATTCTTCAAGCACTTGGAACTTAATGAGATCTTTAGCATTGGTCCCTAATAATCTTATATGAAATACCACATTGTGCGCTGTTGAAGGAATAAGGACACAATTAAATACTCTATGTCAAATATCTTGCCAGTTCAATACTTCAGTTGTTACACATCACTAAAATAAGAATCAGAAACAAAACAGTAATCATGTGCAGAAGTATTCTTCATATTCTTCATATTCTTGTACAGTCTGGTAGTATTTTCTTTCAGTCATAAAACATATAGGAGAAAAACCATATATCACTTGATATATCATTTTTGGTTACACCAAATCTAAAATAAATGTGAAGAGTATATTATTGTTCTAAAATATTATATAGAAACATCAAACAGTATATATTTGATTTAATAAGATACAATTTTGTTACTTTATCCCTTCACCTAAAAACTAAAACCTAAAAATAATTAATATCATATGATAGTCATTTCCAACATTTCATTCTATATATGACACATATGTATTGTCTTATGAAACATTTCAATGAAATTTTCATAAATGATAATAAAAAGGACAAATCACCATGTTCTATATTTTCCATTTCACTATATCTTTGTTCACATGCGACTTACTTCTGTTCAGGCAATATCCTTATCACATCACAAATGGTATTTACACAACCCAACACATTTTACATGTCTTACTCAGGAGACAAACATCATGTGTTGTCCAATTTCTGGTTGTTATTGAGTATTTGAAGCATGGGAATTCATTTGGAACTGACCGGGTTAGCATGAAATATTCCCATGGTTTAAGTACTCACTAACCCCCGGAAATTGGCCGAAACATGATGTTTATTGACATTGTAAACAAAAAGGTAAACCAAAAGGTCCACACACGTTTTTCTGTCTGCACTCATTGACATCGAGTAGGGGTACAGCAGTCTTGCAATTTCAGGGAATCAAATACCATTCAATCATGTTTTTCAACCAATCAGATTAAAGAACACAGTGACTTTTGGTTTACAATTTAATGTGGTAAAAATGTGATAAAAAAGAACATCACAGACACAAAATCTAATCCATTGAGATCTTCCACATTTGTGAGCTTAGGGCTTTTTACCCCCAACATTAGCGTGTATACTGTGTTCCCTCAGACCCTGTTGTTTTGAGACAGCTACATTTGGAGACTACTGGCCTATAATACTGAACTAAACAAACACAAGTAACATATGCTACATTTGGGATTACACTTTCTCCGTAAAGAACAGATTCTAGTACTTTTGTTGGGTTGAGTCACAGCTGGGATTCGAACCCACACCCTCAGTCAGGCACCTAATCGCCAGCAGACAAAGACAGCCGTCTAGCCCACTCAGCCATCTTGGCTTCCACAAAATGGAAGTCGGACAACCGGTAATCTAGCCTACAGACTTTGAGTACCCCTCTGATAGGTGTAAAATTGGCACGGCTCCCAAACACAGTCCATCCTCGATAATCTCCAGGGTATACGTTACGATCAGTCTCCACTATACACTGGATGCATCCACGGCTTGGCCCAATGATTTTATTACCTCCCTTGGCTGGCTTTTTATCCAATCTGGTGTCTACGCTGGGAAGTTTAGCGAACCAATCACAACTCACTTTCGCTTCTTAAATTATATATCTAACCATTTAAACTTGGCAACACAATTGATGCAGAGGGTACTCTGAAAGATGTGGAAGGAGTTCTTTTATATATTTTTGAAAGTTTCAGATCTGTCAATTTGTCTGTATATTTCTCCAAAAATCTGAGTGGTACTGCGAACAAACCTTCACGACTGCGACCACTATCTTTGTTGACCCTGGCCAGCTCGGATGTAACGGCGGCTTAGCTGATTGGCTACTGTGAGAATGCGGAGTCAACAAAGGGAGGTAATATAATTATCGGGCCAAGCCGTGGATGCATCCAGGGTATAGTGGAAAGTGATCGTAACATATACCCTGGAGATTATCGAGGCTGAAACACAGTCATACAAAATGCAGAACACCATACAGTTTTCATCCTACTATGTTCCAATAAGATCCAAGAATCTCTCACACTTGGCCGACGAATGATCGTAATGCGATAATGTAATACTTCTTGGTGGAAGCATTAAAACAAGACAGGAATGCCAGCGGGTGAATTGACAAGACACCCTAAGTGCAGATCTACAAACATCACAATCATCTTTGGGAGCTACCACAAACACTTTCACTACCTAAAATAAAACACATTAGTATACAAGTATTATAACATACTTGTCCAACAGACATGATCAACAAAGAAAGAAGCCTCTAATCAAAATGATATAGATGAAAACAAATAAAAGGGTCCACCTCCCTATAAACAAAGGCTTCAAGCACCAACTGGCCAATTATGCAACAGAGCAGTTCTGTCAAAGACAAATAAGTTTAAATACAGGAGTTGCATGAAAAAATAATACATAAACACTGATAAAGTGTCAATAAGAGCTAGAAGCTAAAATCATCTGCACCAAAAACATACAAGTTTTATTCAACAAAAAGTGAAATTGCGGAATTGAAGAGTATGTTAGAAAAAATATAATGTTTATGTTTAAAACAAAGCTAGAGAATATCAAACCCTGTTTGGCAGAGTAAGTAACAGTCTATCATTAAGAGCATAGGTAATAATAAATAGGTGATAAAATAGGGTTGGTAGGGGAAAATGACAAAGCTGATACTTTCAAGTACCTTTTTGATTTTTCAAATCCATTTTCATCCATAATGCACATTCATCACCTACTTTGTTCTGGAAGGGTTAATGGGTATGAAAAACTTAATGATATACTGAAATTAAGTATCTCAATAGCTTCGTTCATCGATGTTCATCAAAGAGTTCTTATTTTGGCTTTTAACATGTTTAGTGACCAATTCTTTCCCTTCTGGCAATGACTTCAGTTAACTTGAGGAATACTTGGCACACAGAACCATAGGACAGTGTACACACTGACGTAGTAATTAATCACACAATTAAACAAATAATTTCAATATGGTAACTATGGCAACAGGAAGCTCTGACTGTTTCTTTGTTAAGACTATCACAAAGATACAAAAACTACCAAAAGACATTCATAGCATATACATATGTACATTAAAGATGGGGGGAGGCTCAATCTCATCAAAATCAGATCTTTCTGCCCCATTATGTTTTTGAGAAGATCTGATATCTGAAAGGTCTGAGAATATCTGTTCAGAAGGGTCAAAGGTGAACCTGCAATACTGTCTAATCAGCAAAGCATTAACATGCTTCTTAGTTTTCAACAGTAGTGATAAAAGTATTCAAACTATCATATTTGATTTTTGTATCTCAAAAATAAATGTTTACAAGTTCCAAATATCATTAATTAAGGCAATGCCATTGTTGTACACTGTAATTTCTGAGCACCAAGCAAGAATTCAAAAGAGTAACAAAATGTAACGTCCAAATTCAGGGGTAAAGAAATTAACAAAATTCTTTTAAAAAGCTGATTAGCTAAACATCCTACACCTCTTCATTCAGATTTGATGCCACCCTCAGGGAAGAGAAGTCAGGTCTTCACAGACATCAGAGTGATGTGATTGTGATGAGATTTGTTTTTTGATCTTGTCAGTGTTTCGTTATTTACCATGTACAGCACCTAACTGATACACGATGCAATTGTTTTGATTATAACCATCCTATATCATAAACCAAGACTATCTGAAACAACATTGATAATCTGAATAAATAATACACCGCTGGAAAAATCAAGATCATTAAACAAAAAACCACTCAATCTGGGGAGCAAACAAAGAATTCAAGCTTCCATCAAGGCATTACAATACGTAATGCTAAACAAAACCAAAACAAGCGTTGATAATCTGATTCTATACGTATACAACTCTCGAAAGCTCAATATCACAAAACAAGTAAACACTCAATCTGTGAACGTGAGCATACATAAAGAATTCAAGCTTCCATCAAGGCATTACGATACGTAATGCTAAACAAAACCAAAACAAGCGTTGATAATCTGATTCTATACGTATACAACTCTGGAAAGCTCAATATCACAAAACAAGTAAACACTCAATCTGTGAACGTGAGCATACATAAAGAATTCAAGCTTCCATCAAGGCATTACGAATACTTAATGCTAAACAAAACCAAAACAAAAGAATTTAAGTTGATAATCTGATTCTATAACGTGAGCATACATAAAGAACCTTTAAGCTTATAAAACTCTGGAAAGCTCAATATCACAAAACAAGTAAACACTCAATCTGTGAACGTGAGCATACATAAAGAATTCAAGCTTCCATCAAGGCATTACGATACGTAATGCTAAACAAAACCAAAACAAGCGTTGATAATCTGATTCTATACGTATACAACTCTGGAAAGCTCAATATCACAAAACAAGCAAACACTCAATCTGTGAACATGAGCATACATAAAGAATTCAAGCTTCCTGCAAGGCAATAAGTAATGCTAAACAAAACCAACAAGTGTAATGAAATGCCCTGACATTGAATATCTCACATAAGTAGTTTAATACTGATAAATAACACAGAGAAAACCAAAATAAAACAGGAACAGAATTATACTTCAGCTTAATTACTCCATTAAACTTAACCATCAACTAAAATTGTCATGTATGGATGGAAAACACCATGAAAGGATGTCTGACAGCAATATCAATAAAATAAACAGGTAATGAAAGTCATTCAGTGATGTAGAATATCAAAAAAAATACTTGGCACAAAAGTTTGCCTGCACCATAATCAAACTTTTTCAAATTTTATATTATAACATACTTGCCATCAATAACTTGCCATATTAATAATTAAAAATGTAGCCTATGACTGTGATGTATGTTTCAAATGAGAGTAGTCTTTCAAGAAACCACCAGTCCATTTTGCTTTAGAAATTATTTCCTTGTAATGTTAATCAACACAGCTGATGTTGGCTGATGACAAATTTTAAAATATTACTGGAAAAGCAATGGGTGTATTTTGCATAATTTGTGTACAATAATCACAGATTATCCTAAAAACAAAGTGAGAGAAAATTAATCAAATCTTGACTTATGATTTGTATTTGTATGCTTTTACTTCATCAAAAAGACCTTTCATCAATGATTTAGAGTAAGCAAGTATTAATCAACATGCTACACTTTTCCATAAAACACCAGTTATAGCACGACTTGTGTAATTCACAATATGTGTTTAAATATAAAATCAGTACAATGTACCAACAAGATTCTAAATATATCTTTGACAATATAATGTAAATAACTTTTTAAAATTTAAGAATTAATATATCAGGTAAATAATCACATTTCAAACTAAACAAACACAAAACAAACAAAATCCATGTCCAAGCGAAGCATGTCTGGAATCAAAGATCCTGAGCACAGTAAATACAAACCAGTGGAATGCCTGTCTTTGGTACTTCATATGGCGAACTCAAAGTATCACGAGTGGTCAGGAAACTAGTATGATCTAAAGAGGAATCTACAATAGAATATCATCATGTTATCACTACTGGCTTCATAAATGTTTCAGGTCTTCACCCCGAATGATCATATGTTTATATATGATCATATATTTGGGTGAGTGAGTGAGTTTAGTTTTACGCCACTCTTAGCGATATCAGCAACAGTATCCAGCAATATCACGGCGGAGGACACCAGAAATGGGCTTCACATAGTGTACCCAGATCATATATTGAAAACACAGAGATCATCGTCATGGATGAAGAACACATATAAGCTTTTGACGGAATGGAAGCTGAGGAATTATGCATTATAATCATTTACACTGCGTTAACACAATCTGCCAGAATGAAAGCATCTTTGAAGATTGTCAATGTCTTTGATAATAATAATAAATGCAGGAATCAATGTACAGGAGGACTGTAGCATATCAGCTGGGTTGCCATAGTGATTCAACATGAAACCAGTGTTACACTATTGAATATCACACAGAAAGTTGATGGAAGGATGATGCTTAAATGCATGGTTCAAATGGACTTGACAAAGCCCCACAAAGATAGTGTAGAGCTTAGAGTCTTCAAGCTGATGATGCGTCGTCGATGTTGCCATCGCTGACAAAACAGAAGACGTCCTTGGAATGCCAGGATAAGTATCACTATGACAACTGTTGCCATCAAAAGATAGCTTAATGTGTGCGATGGTGTCGGCTCCTGGTTAAGAAAAGAAACAAGTGACAGAGCGATCACTGATGTCAGAATGGGTTGCATAACATTTTATTTCATATAGACTGAACCAGACCAATTTGGGCAGTTCAAAGGAAAAATAGTGTCTTGTTTTGCTTTACAAAAGAGTGGATGCTTAATTTTTGTGGTCCAACCCCATCCAAACAAAACCTTTTTGTTCAAAAACCAAATATGTTCAAACTTCCTCTCAGATTCATTAATTCAAGTCTCACAGTCATAGTTTTCAGAATTGTCAGTATCTAAGAATTGTCATCGTCAAAAGTGTGAAAGTTCAACATCATTTGACATTTCCATTCACAACTGATACAAAGTAAGGGGGATAACTCTTGATGTGCCATTGACATATAGATGACAGATCAAGTACGCTTTTAGCAGTACTGTATAATTTAAGAAAAGACTTCCAACATCTAAAATTGGACATTTCAAGCTATGTGCACCCCATCAAATGTTGGACCTTAAACTGATACATACCTGTAAAGGGTGACGGTGTTTTGTGATCAGAGCACCTCGGGGCTTGTTGGATCTCCGCTGTTTCCAGTGAATCATGTAGTCAAACAGCGAGACATACAGAGGATGGATCTCTGCTATTTCATGCTGGAAATAATTACAAAAATGTCAGATATGTGTTGTTTTTAAGAATTTTTAAACTTTTTCTGAGACAATTGTTTTGAATGCAATTACCTTTCAAATTGAACTTGTTGAAAAGAGGAAGGGGTCAGTTTGATTTCTGACATGTTAACAGGACTTACAATGACTGACATCCACACTGAATTAAGACTTTTCTACAGAGGCGAGTAGGGAAATAACTCACCTTGTTCACTATGTACAACACATAGTTTTTAACATTTTGAAATCTTTCAACTATGTATTATTATTGCACTATATTTCCACACTACCAGGGACATGCTTAAAGCACTGCACTACTATTACCTCAGTCAGTGGATAAGTGTACACTTGAGGATTATACAACCCAGCTGCCCATGGGGTGCACTGCCATCTCACCCTACTCTTTAACATTCACTGCTGGGTGAACAAAGGCATATTTCAAACAAACCTTTAAGTCTCCACTCCGAGGGTTGAACTGGTCAAAGCAGCTGGCTCCAACATGTGCGTCACTGCCCCATAGCTCTATAGCTAAAGAAAAGGGTATCTACAAGAACAATATAGGGAAGAATATTGAAACAAGGTTAACATTTGTGTTATGATTGATAGGGCAAAGGCAATACTGCTATAACATATGCTGAACGAATACTATGGTCACTGACAACTGGACAATGGCTATCAATATATGATCAGATGGTTCACAAGTAACTGAAACTGAGGGCTGTCATTTTTCCAGAATCTTTGCTGGAATATTGCTAAAACGGGCGTAAAACTAAACTCATTCACCCCTGTTATCATGCAAAAATGGCCTCTATATTTAAGTTTGGATTGGAATCTTGTTAGAAAGCTTTAGAGATCGCACAGAGGGGATTATTCATGGAACTTTCAAGCTCCATAGGCCATGTAGTTTCACAGATGTAAAAATGCAGTAATTCTAGAAAAATGAGGATAAGAGGTCAAAGGCTGTAGGCTGATCACCAACAAGGAAGTGCCAGCAAATGTATTATATACCATTACACATTACTGCAGGACAACTTTTATATCAAGAATAGACAGGCCTGAATAATGGGCAAAAATGATATTTCAATATGTTTGAAATCGGATCAGAATTCTGTGAGCAATCATTTTACAGATTCTTATGCTGGAATCAGTGATGGTCAGGTTTAGCATCATAGGTGATGCAAGAAATGGTCAAGGAAATAATAGGCAGGTGATGGACAACTAGCCCAAACTAACGTCAGACAGACTAAGAATGTGAATCAATTAGTTTTGCAACAGATCCATGTACATAAATGGATAGGATTCACATGAATGGCATGCTTGATGGGGTGTGCAGTATTTCATCAGGCAGCAAGGAAACTGTAACATTTCTGAATTTTCTATTGTTCAGTCTCCTACAACACACCCTTTCCCTCAGGCAGAGGCCCATATACCAGTATATGGTCTCTGCCTCAGGGGATCAATAAAACAATAGCTCTATCACACAATCAATCACAATCAATTACACGTACTCAATTACGCAATAAATAAATCAATCAATCAATTTCGTAGAGAGGTCACCTGCCTACCAGTATTATACACGTACAGATTTCACAATAAAAGCTGTTATTTGCCCAAACTACCTTCGGCCATGTGCATAACTATAGACACTCACTACAAACATTTTTCTTGCCTTTCTCGAGCAGTGTTGATATATATAAATTTATCAGTGTGTTTTATAAAGGGGTAAAGAATAGCAAATGTTCATCTATGTTTTGTAGGATGTCGGTTATAAAGACTGGAAAATATGTTCTCTCAGAGTTTTACAAAATGGACAATAAAAACGTTACATTCTATTTCAACATATGTGGCACAATCATGATGATAGACAAACAGCAATACATAAAAAAATTGAGACATCAGATGTTCTTGATCATTGACACACCTTTCTGTGTCCTGCCATGTAGTCGAAGGACGTCCCGTCAGCTGTATAGAAGGTGAGATCCATCGCCTTCCCGTACTCGTATCTGTGTGTGGTTGAGGAGGCGAGACGTGCTGCTAACTCCTTGATACCCCGTATGTTAGCTGGTTGTCTGTTGATGATGTTGGAATGAGTATCTGGAACACAGAAATAGGTTTTAATACGTTTCAAGATTTAGTGTGAGTTTTCCGGCCCTGAAGACAACTTTTTGCTTCTTCTTTTATCCTGCACTCACCAATATTCCAGTGAGTTAGTGAGTTTGATTATACGCCGCTTTTAGCAATATTCCAGCAATATCACGGTGGGGGGACACCAGAAATGGGCTTCACACATTTTACCCATGTGGGGAATCGAACCCGGGCCTTCGGAGTGAGGAGCAAACGCTTTACCCACTAGGCTATCCCACCGCCCCAGCAATATTCCAGCTATATGATGGCAGTCTGTAAATAATCAAGTCTGGACCAGATGATCTAGTGATTGACATCAAGAGCATTGTTCTACACAAATAGAACACACATAAACAAAGTCATCAGGCCTGGCCACCCAATCCTGTTTGGCGCCTCTACAACAGGCATGGTTTGCTGAAGGCCAATTTTGACCCAGATCTTCACAAGTTCCCAAAAGACAGAGATAACATCAGTTGTCAAGAAGAACACATAATTGTCAAAATGTGGGCCGAGTGGGTTCCTGGTTGTATAATGACCACGGATAGTAACTGGAACTAATCAGCTTACATGACAACATGTTGGGCTATTCGGAAAAAAATCAGTTTACACACTACCGAACACAATCATGATAATCATAATTTCAGACTACCGTAAATATTGTTATCTATATCAACAATGGTTAAGAAAACTGAATTATCATAAAAACAGGAATTTCCGTTGTCACAAATATTTAACATGTTTAAGTTTTAACTTTGGTGAGGTCAAAAGATTTTACTCACCAGCAAAAGGTAAATATATCTGTCTAATCCCTGAGTGAAACGAAATGTAGAGATCAAAGTGCATTTCCTGAGTGAGGTGTTTGTAAACATTGCATTCAGGTTCTGAAATGGAAAAAAATATTATCATAAACATAATAATATAATATCCTAAAACTTTATTTAACCATGTAAATAGACATTGAAAAGTCACAAGCTACATGTGATAATAAAACATGATCAGGATGATAAATCCAATCAACAAAGTTACATTGAGAACCACCAGAATGGTCCATGAAATATGATGATATACTATGCAAAAAACATCAAGAACGCTGCAAACTTCAGCATTGTTAAGTCAATTTTTTAACAATTATGTACAATGAGCTTAATCATGAAACCTGATCATGCATGCTGACTCATCTTTCATCTTGCTCATGATTCAAGTCACAATGCAAACATAATCCATGAAACATTTCAAACACAATCGAAAAGCATTGTTAAGTCAATCTGTCTGGTCCATATTCCTTATCATCTNGCATATTCATAGTCCAAGCACATCATACTTAGTTTTCTCATACATGTCAAAGGTGTCTACTAGGTGTATTACCTGAGAAAGCATGGGGGCCTCTATATTCCTCATCATTAGGATCAGCTGAACTGCCCTTCTTTGCATACTCCCAGTCAAAGTTCCTATTGAGATCAACACCTGTACTTGTTCCTCGCCAACAGTAATTATGGGAGTGTTCGACGTACACACGTCCATCTGGGTTAGCCATTACTATGATGTGCAAGTCAGTACTGGACAGTACATGTCTGGAATATAGTTCCTCATAACTACCAGGTGCTGACCCAAGTCCATCAGTGAGGTTCCGCAAAAGATGGAACATGCTTTCAACTGGGAAGAATTCTCGAGCGTGTTCCCCATATGACAACAACATTTTCACCTTGCTTCCATCCTTCTGGTTGGCATCTGTATTCTGTGTGAAGTTTGTGATGTGGAGAAGCATCTGTGGTTTGCCCAGCCTCGAGTTGTACTTCCAATCAATCTTCATGAAATTGGGGTACAGAAAGAGCAGCTGTTGAACATCTTTTTGTATGGATGTCAAGTTATGATATATTGTGTAGTCAGGAATGTAGACTTCCTTCTGTGGCTTCACGTCCACTGTATCTGCTGTGTTCCATTCACAGAGGAATGTGATGACCCCAATCAAAATCAAACCATACACATTTGGAGGACTGCTGGCATGTGCCTTTCTTGTCAGAGATTCTTTATTGTGAAAAGGAGCCATGATGGTTTCATCCTCTGAAAAACAATAAGTCTGACACGTTAACATCTAGTAATGTCTTAAGTTTTACATCTAGTAATGACCTGACGTTAATCCTAATGAACATGATTAATACAACTTCATAACTGTAAAACAAAACATGCAAATGAAATACATCCTGCTAACGATCTGTTAGTAATTTCATGCTGAAAAGGTACCATGTCAAAATGGCACAGAAACGGCACCAAATTGACAATTTTCAACATACCATCAGCAACATACTGGCAGTAAAATGTGTTTCATTCTTTTTCGTGCTGAACATGTCAAATATAACTAAGAACACAACATTGGTGTGCAGAAATTACCAAAATGATTGCATTTTATGTTTTTTACAAGTGTGATTACAGAACAGACTGCGGGAATTGTAACTGATAAATTGTTTAATTAATTGTATTATTTAAATTGTTATAAATAATATGATAATTGTATAAAGATCATACTATGCCGGTTTCGACACAACGCCGTTTCAGCTATAACCTAGTTTTGGTACAGAGGAGGTCTATACACACATCTTTACATGGCGAAATTTAGAAAAAAGAAAGAACAACACGAACAGAACGTCGTCCAGTCGCATTTGGGATTATGACGTGGATTACGAAGAACGTTTTAATTTTTCACACAGGTTTAGCCGCACCGCTGCAGACATATTTTAAAGGAACATGCTGAACTACCAGGGGCCCATAAAACAATCACAGAGGCACATCAATATATCATCAAATAATGCTCTTTCATCTGCAGAAAGGCTTACCCAAATGTCTCATTTGCAGGTTTGTTGACAACTCACTCACCGGAAGCGACTACGCAGTAGTAAAGTTGTAATGCTTCGTTTCGTATTCTGATTACATCTTCTTCAGACAAACGATGTTTGGTACAACTTACTACCGTTAAACATCGTTTTGTATTATCGAGACATTTTAAAAACGCTTGTTTCGTATTACTTTTCAAAATGTACATTTTATGTTACATTTTTATGACTCCATACGAAAATAAAACAATATATCTTTACCATCATGGCTGCGTCCATGTCTCACCGAGGGGGTAGTCAAGACTGACTGACTGAGTTTAGTTTTACGCCGCTTTTAGCAATATTCCAGCAATATCACGGCGGGGGGACACCAGAAATGGGCTTAATACACTGTGCCCATGTGGGGAATCGAACCAGGGTCTTCGGCATGACGAGCCAACACTTTAACCACTAGGCTACCCCACCGCGCTGGTAGTCAAGACGAGTGTAATTAAACGCCAGTATTGTATTTAGGGTTTGAGTGAGTTGACCGATCCTCGGGGAAGTGACACGTCTTCACGAGCAACCGCCCCTTTTCGAACCTTAGAACTACGGTTATCTCAGTGAATAATTGAGTTATAATCGGCATTCTAGAAGTTGGCGAGTCCAGGTTGGGGCCTAAGTACTGATAATAAAGCCAATACACAGGAGGAGAACAGGTCAAAAGGACCAAAGAAAAGTCAAAAGGGCCAAGGGAAAGTCAAAAGGGCCATAGACAAAGGGCCAAACTTTTAGAAAATAGTAAGATTTGAAGAAATACATTATATGTTGTTGCAGTAGTTCTTATCCTACACGGGCGGTGGGGCAGCCTAGTGGTTAAAGCATTCGCACGTCATGCCGAAGGCCGTTTTGATTCCCCACATAGGTATAATGTGTGACGCCGATTTCTGGTGTCCCCCCCACCGTGATATTTCAGGAATATTGCTAAAAGCGGCGTAAAACCCAACTCACTCACTCACTCTAATCCAAAACATCTCACAGTGTCTCAGTGTTGTCTATTTAAAACATCTCAAAGTGGGTAATTGTTTATTTTAAACATCTCAGAACATCATAGTATTGTTTCTCAGAGTGTGACCGTTGTCAGATTGTAGCTTTGGCACAAACATGACCAAAGAGGAATACCTCCAACCTGGCGAGAGCGGGGAGGAATTTCACTTTCTCTGCCATGTCTGTTCTGAGGCCGAGTCACAGTTCGGTGGGGTAGCCTAGTGGTTAAAGCGTTGGCTCGTCACGCCGAAGACCCGGGTTCGAATCCCCACATGGGTACAATGTGTGAAGCCCATTTCTTGTGTCCCCCGCCGTGATGTTGCTGGAATATTGCTAAAAGCGGCGTAAAACCAAACTCAGTCAGTCAGTCACAGTTCGGTAATTTTACGATTGGAGACTTTAAAGTTGAGTGAAGATGACTGTAGTGAACTTTAAAGATGTGTTAATTATGAACATTTGAACTACTTATGAATTTTTGATCACATATCAACACCTGAATGATGATCGCACTATATATTATTACTACTATCATTACTTCATAGTGATACAAATATAATAAAACATATAAAATCTATGTTAGTTTGTGTTCTTATCTGAATTTGATCTATGGCCCTTTTGACTTGTCTTTGGTCCTTTTGACTTTTTCAATTTTGGCCCTTGGCCCTTTTGACTTCAACCCTACAGGAGGGAGATGGGGATAGTTTTTAAGAAGTAGTAAAAACAAGTTGAAGATGGTGCTTTGATAGTCTTCAGCTTGATTACTTCTTCATAGGTCGATGGTATGTACCTTTGGTCTCTGTTGATGAAAGGTTTGTAGCAGCCAAAAATTTTCTTTTCGTGAAGTCCTGATTCTTGGTGGATAGGATTTCAACTTTGTCAAACTGGATTAGGTAGGTAGGAATTTTTGTTGGTGATCTGAAAGGGCTGATTTGCCTTGGCCTCATTCAATTATATGCCACTTGTTGTTCAATTACATGCTGTTGTTAATGTTAATGCTGTTTTGTCATAACATGTATATATACTTCTCATCACTCGGTTGTAGTCACTTTTAGCTTGATAACAGTGTAAGAATCGAGATCGAAACATCGCTCGATGCAATGAACTAGAAGTCGTCATTCATAAAGTTGTGTGCTTCATTTTTGAGTCATATCCAGTTTGTGCCACTCCAAGAAGTTATCCAGTTTGAACATTTTTGGTTGGTCAACTGTTTGTTCATGTTTTGATGGACAATGGTGAGTGTGACTTCCGCAAAAAAATGAATGTTAGTAACATGTATGTACTCTATTGTGTTTTAGTAACCATTTACTCTTATGTGCTTGCATGTTAACGAGGTGCAAAGGACTCAATAAGTGTGCACTCATTATCCATGATGGCTCTCTTGGTCCTGTGGTGGAGGGTCAGCTAATGACATAACAAATAAGCTAAGCCAGTAATCTGGTGAAGAGTATTTGTTAACTGGAGCTGCAAAAGTGCACTACTCCCCATTTTAATTGGGGTTTTCTTAATGCTGCTTGGACATTTACAGCAATATGACATCAGCAAGTTTCATTGTGGATAGTGAGATATGACATAATGTGTTGATTGTTCATGACATCAAAAATCGCATTACATCAGAATAAGATGGCTTCAGTTTCTTTGTAATCAAACAATTTTCGAAAATGTTCCTTCATAGTAATTGGTAGAATATTCATGATGTTATAATCATACAGGACTGGAAATATATAATGACCAGCTGAATCTCTTCGGTCAACCTCACTGATGTTGTTGATGTATCTTGTACAGTGCTATGGCGCTCCAGATTTTCCACTTTCATGATATGACTCATGTAACTGTATAATGGGCCTGTGTCCCCTTTATTGAATAAACCAATTACAATTACTGACGTTGTTGATGCTATTGATGCTCATGTGCTGCACTAAATAACAAACTAAAAATGTAATGGCACATTGGATAAGGATAACCTTCTTGCAACTTGGAATTACGTTTATCTGTCTGTGGTTAATGAATCCAGTATGATCTCCTTCACTAAAAGATTTGGGCATTCAATAACAATTTTAGCATTCATGCACTCAGTTAAGTTGCCTGTCATTTCCTTAACCCCATTAGATTTGTATCAATACTGGCTTTTATGTGTTGGCCTGATTTAAGAATGATTGATAAGAGTGCATAAGCAAATTGCATTAATTGTAAGATGACATTACCGTACTGTTCTCTGCTCAAATATTGCTCAATTCCATTGATGTTTCATCATTCTGTTCAACCTGCCTTTAAATTTGGACTACAAGCGTGGTAAGACACAGCAATAGAGCGACTGTGGCCTATCCTTGACTCATGAGAGTTTCTAGGACTATCATGCCACGCAAAGAAGAACACATGAAGTGTGGTCTCACAGTAGGCCAGTTAGTTTGTTTAAAATTGCCTTTGTTCACCCAGCAGAAAATGGGTACCCGATGGGATATGTCATATGGCCTTTAACCTTCTAACGCCTCACAGGCAGCTTGGGTTATCTGGGATAATGATGTCAATCATGTTTGTTGGGAAAAAAGTCATCATATCTATGTCAAAACTTGTTTTCCAAAGTCTATAAAGTTTTATTTGAAAGCACATGATTACTGCATATATTCATAACCACGATAAAGTTATAACAATAGTTGTCCGTAAGCAAAAACATTTTATTATTCAGTTACGTAATACAGAAGACTACACAATCAACAATCATATTAAACACATGCCAATGCTCGAAAATGTAAATTTGAAAATCCTAATGTTGTAAGGTTGTTAAATAATGTGGAATTATTCAATTTAGAGCATTGTATACTGGCTTTGAGTGAACCACAGGTATTGTCAGGGTTGAACTATAATTTGTTTGTGGGTTTTGAGCCAACACTCAGCAATATTCCAGCTATATGATGGCAGCCTATAAATATTGTGGACAAGGCAATCCAGTGATTGATATTGTGAACAATCATCCTTGCCCCTGGGGTACATTGGCACGCCATCAACCAAGTCATCCACACTACAGTCTGTAACTTCCCAGTCCTTTTGGTTGCCTCTTACAACCAGCATGAATTGCTAGGAACCAATTCTAACCAACGATCCTCATGAGAATTGAAATGTTTGTCTAAGCAAAAAAAAAAGGTTTTTAAAAAAGACTGTTGCTGCTCTCTAAACAACTTCATCATTCATCAATAGTATGCATCCAACCATTGTACAATTCATAACATGTATGGTGTGTGTCACCTATCATGACCTCCTGCAGCATACAAACAGACAATACTTAAAACTTCCACTGTCTACTCAGTTTTCAGAGTAACCCAGACCAAAGACATTTCTTGTTTAAATTTTCATAGACTGTGACAAGTCTGACAAACCATAATTTGAAAATCACAAATACAAGTTCCTTTCTCATTTACTATTCAAACTGGTTAGATAGCATGAATGCGGTAATTACCAACATACATTTTCCAACAGGTACTGAACCTTACATCTTGCTAAATACAGATCATATGCAAATCCGTGTTGTATGGAGACCCTTCTGTGCCATTATTCATTTCTGATAGAATGTTTGTGAAGGATTCAACGTTAATTTTTCGTACATTGAGTTAGATGATGACAAACACAATTCATGGAAGTATTTAACAAAAATATCATTAATTTTGTATGCATCATAAACAAAAAACATCTGGTTCCAGTTTGTACAAAAGGTTAGTTACATTTACCTGTAGTTTGTCTTATCTGAAAACAAAAAAATGCTCCAATTAAGACTTAGATAATTGACATGTGATGTGAAAATGCCCAACAAATTAAACTTGAATAGTCTCAGAAGTTATGTAGAAAAATGAGAGTAATGTTTGTAGTGGCAAGAGTCTAAAACGATGCAAAATGAACAAACAATATTCATACTGCACAATAAATATTATAAATTGCAACCTTTTTATTTTCTAATCCATCCTAACTAGCTGGTGCAGTTGAATAAATATAATTTAACCAAAGTACTTTATTTATGAATGGTTTTTATCCATTCAGTCCACAAACCATAAACTAAAAATATTACTACCTTTGTGCAAAGAGGTTACTAGTATTTGAATCAAGATAGTAAACTTGCTACCAAATTACCATTTGGGGTACCAGGCACAAATGAAATTATATCCTTTTATTTCAAGTTTTAGTATCAGCAGAAATCTTTACTATAATTGACCTAATGTAGTAATATAAAATATACACTTCCTTATCAATAAGTATGAGATGGAGCAAAACAGAAAAACATTCTACAGACTACAGGAGGGCAACCATTTGGAGGCATTTATTTCCCATTTATGGCATGAAAACCAAAAAGCAAAATAACAAAAAAGCACTCACTGTTACCATTTGATGAATTCTTTCTACATGGTAAGTAGTTTTACAATTCAGTGTATATTTTACATAAATTAAGATATCACAGTTTGAAGAACATTATCACAATTTAATGATTAAGTCAAAACTGTTGAGAATAGTTGTTATTCTTCAATTGTTGGCCACACATCATCTGTTCCCTGTTCTGGGAGATTCTTTTTCAGACCTGTCACAAAGGAGAATTTTGGATTTAGTGCCACATTTCTGTTATTTTGATACCACCCTGAAAAAGACGACAGAATGAAAATGCTTCACCACCTTCTGCATGATTGAGGGATTGGTCCAGGAAATCCACAAAATCAAAAATAGAAGTTGTCTGGCCAGATAAAGGCAACTGACAAACTTTGTCTTTCATCAGCAAACACCTGTGACAGCGACATATTTCTTTTCATAAATTTGTTCACAGTAACAGATCTGATACTGCCTCGCATATCTTACATTCATTTGTTTAACTCAAATCATATGTACTGTTTAGATTGATATGAAAGATCACTAGAATATGAAACAAATATGGCATGGGTCAGTAACTGACAAAGGTCACAATAAAATAATAAATGAAATAAGTGAAATAATTTGGCTAACATATGTATTACATTTACAGTATTTTGAATTAAAGCATGAAAGCGAAAATGTCCTTGTCATAATCATAATGGTAATGATGGAAGGTTAGTGAGTTCTAAAATGAAGATATTAGTGCCAAAAACATGCACAATGACCCAGCTTTATTTCTAACACTGTATGTAATACACTGTATACAAATAGGATGTAAAATATGATGTCAAACAATTAGCTCATGAACACCAGACTAGTGCTGATAACGAAGATGGAAGACATTTGTTATTCCACATATTCATTGCATATTAAAGGATACAATAATACATGTAAAATGATTCTAAAGGGCCTGAAGGCTATTTTTGATATTTTGTCCAACAAATTATCTATTTTACAAATGAACATATAATTCAATCTTCATAAATATAATGGACAAAGTTTCAACATCACACTATTTAAAAGCGAACACGGACACATGCACACGCGCACGCACACACACCAAAATGTTTATATTAACACACATTTGGGTTTGAATACACAGATGGGAAAATGGCAGTTAGTTTTGATTGAAATATAAAAATAAACTGTTATACACATTGCTCTAGCACAAAGGCTCACAGAACCTTTCTGTTCAGGCCAGATTATGATTGTTTCATGCACTGAGTGGATAATTAGGGACCATTCATAATTTATGGCTAGAGGGGTGATCATGATTTTCATGGAGTAGCGTGTACAATGTGAATGACACCCCCAACCCCCATCCAAATGTATGTACAAAGTAAGTGACCCCCCTGCATGTCACGTACAAAATCAATGACCCCATCCCATTTCAATAATTTTGAAGCATAATTTTTTAAGATTCATATGTATAAAATTGCTGACCCCTGTGTACATGTGTACAAAATCAATGAACACACCATCCCCCCACCCCAAGAACAAAATGGGTGACCCCCTGTGAAAACATCATCACCCAACTAGCCATAAATTATGAACGGTCCCTTAGTAAACAAATATGATACACAGTATATCATAAAATAGAATTTACTAGGAGTCATACTTTTTCTCTGATGGTAACTGCAATACCTCCATGCTACCAACAACAATGTTTCATGTACCTTTCATGTCAAATCTGGAGTGTACACTGCTACAGTTGGTTTCTGGAGAGGAGTCTGTTGATGAAATGTACCAGGAATAACTGGAGGGACTAGCTGAATCATACTGACTATCTGTTGCATCACACAGGTTACATATTCTTGGAGTGGCATCAGGTCCACGAGGATAGTTATCATCTTCTGAGTCAAGCATGTAACTCCTCATTGCACCACCGTGATGTGCGAGACGTTGTCGACTCCAAACCATGTGCGGTGCCTCAATGGCCATTATCTGCAACCAACCAGTTTGCCAAATTGATGTCCTAGACAAAAACATTAAATTTCAATGAAAAAATATATTTGATTCAAACCCAACATACACTGAATGACTGAAATGGCCCTATACTCAGACATACTGTTTGCTACTTTCAGTGCTCGCCTGCAAATATCACAAAGTCCCCGACGCAACAAAATTTATTAGCGCAGGGGCGCAAGAAAAGTCCAAATACTTTTTGTAAAAATTCCAATCAAGTAACAATAAGTTATCACTGAGCTTGCTACTTGCTGGGTTATGGTATCATTTGCAATTTAATTACTGTAACAATGTGATGATCATGATACACAATACAGTAACAGTATCAAATAATATCTAAGTGTCTGGGACCCAAATTTTGTTGTCCAGGACCCCTGGAAATTAAGAGTATGAGTTCCAGGGACCCTCAAATACAAGACTCCAGGTAAATCCCTGTTTCCCCTTAAAACAATCATTTTTTTTTAGCATCTATATTACAATGATGTGCTCCTGGATGTTAAAGACAATGGGAATAGGTGGATTTTATCTTGCAGGGGAGTATACATCTTTTGAAAATGTGTCTTGAGAAAGCAGGGGTGCACACTTCATTTTCAATGGCCATTTAATATACTTTCAGGACAAACCACCTGATCCTGTTTGTCACCTCTTATGACAAGCATGGGTTACTGAAGAACCAATTGTAACCCGGATCTTCACATGTGTCAACATGCAAGAAGTTAATGTGTTAAAGCTAGGTGAGCAATAGAGGCAATGTTTCTTGTTTTAAAGTTTCAAAGTACTTCTTGTACCTTTCATTTTAACACAATTGTTTCAATTTTAAATATTATGCAGACATGTTAATTTCAAATTGAAAACTCAATAAACCTCCACATGCATTCAGTACCAGTTACAATTACCTCCTCACAACAACGCCTGCTAACGATTGCTCTGTAGTCAATCCTCTTAAGTAATTTATCTCTCTTGGCTAAAAATCCTGGGTATTTCTTTTTCCATTTTTTGCCAAGAGCCCATGGAAAGATTTCATACTTTATTTCCTCTTCATCTTCTTCCACATCATTTGCAAGATATCTGAAATTCAATCCATCCAATAACTGCTCTGCCCAACTTCTACATGCCTCATCATTTAAGAAAACCAAGCTCTCTTCAGCCTGTTTGAGTAAATGCGCAAACTCTGCCGTTTCAACACACTCTATTTTAGTGAAAACATATCAGTAGCATCTAAAATTTAACTATTAATGATTACAATATTGAATTTTTGAGACAAAGCTAACTGAACATTAGCTTGTCCTTGCACTGGCCATTTGTTAAAAAACATAATGTCAACCGGAAATGTTCATCATTTAATTAACAGATAATACAAAAATTACAACAATACTATTTATGACATTTTTATGATTAATTTATTAATTTGACTAGAACACATTACTCCATCTCCAATTTCTGTTCATCTTGACAAACATTGTTTTGAGCTATAACAATATCATAGAAGTCATCACACATGATAAAAAATATATCCACCATATCCCATTAATCAATATTTTCTCACTAAAGATTGCATAATTTCTGATAATGTATTAGTCACTTATTATTTCCCACACTTGAAATTACCTATGATGAATCCTACACATCGTGACCTTTTATCAAAAGGAACAAGTCAAAATGCCAAATATATATACTTTTATGCAGTGAAATGTCTTTTTGGACAGTAGAAATCATTATATGGTCCAAATTGTTTGTAAGTTGATGCTTACAGTGCTATGAAGAAATTAGTTCTTGAGTACTCCCTCAGAGAGTAGCCAGCTCTCTTGAAGTAGGCAAACACCATTGCAATCAAATACTGAAATGGAAAATTTGAAGAATATAAAATACACATTTCTCACATTATGAAGTACAGTAGCCTCCAGAAACAACCTTATAATCACTTCATATGACAAAATATTGGTTAAGGCAGTACACTAGCCAAAACAAGGCTCTAAGTATTACTTTCTTCGGGGTGAAATACACCAAAATCATAATATGGACACACATATCAAGGTCATAGCAGGTTCAAAAGGAAAACAATACTAAAGACACACCGTTGTTGACATTTTTGGCAGTGACCTTCAAACATGAGAAAATGCTTGAGGGTCATTAAGAGAGTAGCAAGTAATTTATTTTAGCAAGTGTATCACCTTGTATCAATAGAGAAAAAAATATTCATGTATCATATCATCATATACACATGAAAAGTCACACTGCACTGATGTTTCACTTCATCTGAATTACTTTCAGTAGATTTTAGTATTTTTAGCTAAGTTCACTGGACCCAACAAAATTTTAAAAGATTCTGCATCTGGAGAAGTGGCTTGAGTTGGAAAGTAATGATTCAGGATTATTCCTGATCTGAGATCTCGAGTTAACTCATATGCCTAATCACTGAATCAGTGACCTAAAAATATTATGAACCCGGTTGATAAACCACATACACTTAAGTGTAGTACTGTCAATGAATAACATACATATATGATTAACAAAGCATAATTTGAACTGTCAATCTCATTATATATTTCATGTGAACCATAGTATAAGTTAACAAATCTTCATAGCTATTCCTACGTGTGATTGTATTAATAAGCAATGTCACAATTGAAACAAATTGTTTAGCAGAACGTCTTACATTATCAGCAATTCTCATACAGCTATCCATTTCAAGGAAGTCTTGTATCAGTTCATCAGCTGTAAAAAAGAAACATTGTTACATCACAGCAAGGAACAAAAAGTATCTTTGGTATCTTGACAAGATTCTGTTTACCTTCCTGATGGAAACATTCATTTGTACTAAAGGTAACTAATTAAATTTAACATTGATGATTGGTTGGAAAAGAGCAGTCAAAGATTGATTAATGTCTATCAGTCATGAATGAGAACAGAAAAAATTAGTCCAGAGCATGATTCTCTGTATACTTCTTCCAAATAACACTGCATGGAATAGAACATACTTACTATCAAACTTTACCCTGCAACACAATCACATTAGGAGCAACTGTTATATAATATTATAACATCTTTTTGTATGTGCTACACTCAATGTTAAGATCCCTTACAAGGAGAACATATATAACTGGAAAGTAACCAATATCTGATTTCATGATCAATGCCTTGGTAGGGAAGTTAATCAGTCCTCAAACAAATTCATTTTTTCAAACAATGTTAGCTAAGGATTTGTTGTGTCTTGTTCAGTGGCTGATATTCAAAAGTTTTCACACACTTTAAACCTCTTAATCAACACTCAAAAGTACCACTTTTGATATAAAGAGTGCAATACATAAACAAATATACTCACAGATGTGTAACATCACATATGATTTCTGTATAGTTTCAAGGTGATAAATTATGATTTTTTTCTGAATTTCATTTTGGAAAATTATCTGATGAAGACAAGTCGATTTGTTTCCTTTTTTTTCACATTGGGCAAGAACGTTCAGTCTGTGTCCTGGCAGCAGGTGAACAGGGTTTTAGATCTGTTCCTTTTCCATGATATTAATGGACTTAGTCTTTCATCCAAAATGTCATGACGATATCATATAAATTAAAATTTGATAAAGATGTAGGGTGTGCTGTAAAAGTTTGATACATAATAAAACTGACCTAATGCCATTTGTCTTGAGCAAATTAACTGAGTCTATGCCAGACAAAATTGTGGCCAATAGTAAGTTCAACTTCAACTAAAACACCATAGCTGAACATCAAAAGGATGTCCAAATTCCATTTGATTGCTAGAACTGAGCAGATAATGCTGAAACTTGGCTTTAACAAATATTGAGGTATTTAGACCAAATAATAAACAAATTTGCTTTGTAGCGAAGACACCTTGTAAAAAGTATGCCTTTAAAAACTATCAAAGGAAACAATGTGATGATACATGCCAAAAACAGCAATACCTTTCTGGAATCTGAGATGTGATCACACTTACCTATGAGGCCAAAGAATGCCTTCATTTCTTTTCCTTTCACAATGAAACATGATCTCTTTTGTCTTTTGGCTGGTGTAGGATTAAGAGATGAAGGCTCTTCAACAGAATTTCCTTCATTCTGCTGTGAGCATTGCCTCTGCCTCTTCATATGATTATTGATTGGATAATGCTGTGGTTGATGGTATGGAACAGGTTGACATGGAATTGGTATTAAATGTTCATACTGTTCATTATTTGGATAGTCATACAAGTTTCCATGTAGCCTGTAGAATATCTTGCCATATGTTGCTTCAAAACTAGGAAGGGTAAGGTTCATCTGTGTCTGAAAACAGCACTCTGTAATCTTTTGGCAAAATTCTTTATCCAAAATGATACTGTAACAAATACAAAGAAACGTCTTGTGAATAATGCACAAATCCATGGACTAGTTAAGGTATGTCATATCCATTCTTCAATGTCACAGAAAATTAAAAAAAACTTCATTCCAAATTAGGAATAAATATCAGTTCTAATTATATCAATGAATTAATGACATTCACATTATATAAGACTGATATAGACCTTGCCTAATTAAGCTCGAATAATCTTGTGATACAATAAAATGCAATTCAATGCATAAGTTTACATCATATCTGTATGTAATCATTTTCTACCAGTTCGCTTTGTTATTTACCTAAATCTTGTTTAGGATGTTGTGACATATAGACTGTAAATCATAAATGCCTTCCATTCATTATTTCTGCAAACCAGTCTCACTGTCCAAGGTAATGTCACACATTACAAAGGCAAGAAGTAAGTTACTGTACAAAAAACTTATTCTAATTCAGCTACTGATTTACAAACTCGCCATGTTACTAACCAAAAATGAACTTTTTCCACATCTGATACTTGCAGCTTCTACAGATTTCTTGTCGTCTGCTAGGTGTCAAACGCAAGCGACCTCTATTTTTAATAACATTTTAGAGTGATCTCCCCTTTATTCTTGCCCTGGCAGTCAATGTAAACTATGATATTTTATTATTGTGTGTTATATAAAACTGTAATTACAATAATACTACGAGGGGAAGTTGTACTGGTAAGAACTATTGTGTTCCTAAAGACAACACTGACAATGATCATGTTCCTATTTCATCAAGAGATTTTCTTTCAGAAGTTAGTTATTCTGAATTATTACACATAAATACACATTTCTAGTCCATATTCTTGCGCACATTTCTTTTGAACAGCAATAATGTGTGGATATTTCCCTTTGCACTTCAGTGATGTACGGCAGTTTGAAAGGAAAAGAAATTTGACTTCTACATATTTGCGACACAATTCAATCGGCATCCAGCTCAATCGACTTCAGAGCCTGAAACCAAAATATCCGAATTCTCAAGTAAAGTCAATGTTTTTCTCATTTTATTTCATTTTCAGGGCGTAGCTACCATAAAAAAAGCCCGGGCTTACACATGATTGTTGCTGAAAAGGTTGGGCAAGTCCTCAATAGGCTACTATCTAAATAAAAAGCTTGGCAACCTATCGGGCTTGTAAACACGAAAAAATTGGATTGCTACGCGCCTGAGTTTGGAGTTCAACGTCAGTTCGTTCACTGGATATACTAGTAGTTTACATACAATGACGTACAGTTCAGCTAATCTTGTTAATTCAGATTTTTTTACAGTTTCTGAAAAGATTCTCTTGGCTCCTGTCAGTATGTATTAATGGACAACTTAACCAAAACATTTAAACAGTTAATTGCAAAGAGCTTCTCGTTAGTATACTGTCGAGTATATAAATGGCTCAGAATGGCTCTGTAAATAAAATCAAGAAATGATTAAGCAGTTATTGAAACTGTTTTCTTATGTTTCTCCCTTCATGCTATCAGTGTGCGAAATAGCCACACTAGTTAGCCGCTAGTCTGTGGTTAGTAAAAATCCAATCGGGTCAGTAAATCTCCACAGTCACTGACCCAACTGGCAAGTGACTTTTCATGGGGTCTTTTTGTAAATATATCACTCTCTCCGAATTGTTTAGTTATAATACACAGGCAAGGTTATGGTCTGATAAAAATTCATCATATTAGCAGCTTAATGATGAAACTCGTGCTATGCCGACAATATCTTATTCTTAATTATTTTAAAAAATCTTTTGCTTAGTTTCTACATTCAAATTTCGGGCTAGTGATTTATTTTGTGGGCAAGTAACTTTCAGACATAGTTAGCTCGACTGGCTAGCAAAATTTGGAAACTACTTCTCACACTGTACTATATGCTATTCCCCGGTATCATACAGCAAAGTTAGAGTGAATGCTATTTTACACACTCGGTAGTATGGAATCCTGGAAGGGACATTGTCGCGTTGTCGCATTGTCGCGTTGTCGCCCTCTCAAAACAAGCAAAATGAGCAAAATTAACCAAAGGGCGACAATGCGACAACGCGACATTTCGGCCATTTGTCGCATTGCCGCGATGTCGCATGTTGCGTTTTGAATAATATTTTCCTATTCCTCCAAAGGGCGACAATGCGACATAGCGACAATTTTCAAGGTCCAAATATGTCGCGTTGCCGCATTGTCTCGCATTTTTAGGATTTTTTACACATCTTACGTACATGGGGCGACTATGTATACTCATACTCTTGCTTGATAAGGGTGTAAGGATTTACAACGAAACCTCGTATTATAACAGAATAGGCAGGTTAGCATTCATTTAAGAAATACAATTCGCTCTTCACCCATACATAGTGTAATAAAGTACACTTGTGCCCTGAACTATTATAGTTAAGGCACGTGGACGCTTGCAGTCGATTTTCAGGTTCGCAGACCCTGTGGCACCTTGAAGTGAGAGAGTCAATGATGAAACATCTGTTGTATAGAGTTTCACTGGGTGCCTATCATTGAGTGTACGGCCAAATCTATGGTATTAGAAACAGAAGGTTTTGGTAATGTGTCGGAACAGTACGGACATTAGTCTATTAGTCTTCGATAATTAACAGTTCACAAAGTTTGCAGAAAAGTTTATATTTGTGGACGAAGGAGATTTTTGCCTGAAACTATCACGTTACGTGCGCTTCCGTCTCATGTGAAAATTTCTGTTCGCCACGCGACAGGAAACAAAGACCATCTGTCTCAAGTGAAGATTCCATAACAGGCAGTTTATGTGAACACCTGCCTCAAATGAAGATTTCACATCAGGGAACATGCGTGACCATCTGTCTCAAGTGAAGATTTCATACCAGGGAATATACGTTACATTCTGTCTCAAATAAACATTTCATACCAGGGGAAATACGTTACATTCTGTCTCAAACAAAGATTTCATACCAGGGAATATACGTGACAATCTGTCTCAAACAAACATTTCATACCAGGGGATATACGTGACAATCTGTCTCAAACAAACATTTCATACCAGGGAATATACGTTACAATCTGTCTCAAACAAAGATTTCATACCAGGGAATATACGTGACAATCTGTCTCAAGTGAAGATTTCATACCAGGGAATATACGTTACAATCTGTCTCAAACAAAGATTTCACATCATGGAATATACGTGACCATCTGTCTCAAGTGAAGACTTCATACCAGGGAATATACGTTACATTCTGTCTCAAACAAACATTTCATACCAGGGAATATACGTTACATTCTGTCTCAAACAAACATTTCATACCAGGGATATACGTTACAATCTGTCTCAAACAAGCATTTCATACCAGGGGATATACGTTACAATCTGTCTCAAACAAACATTTCATACCAGGGGATATACGTTACAATCTGTCTCAAACAAACATTTCATACCAGGGGATATACGTTACAATCTGTCTCAAACAAACATTTCATACCAGGGAATATACGTTACAATCTGTCTCAAACAAAGATTTCACATCATGGAACATACGTGACCATATGTCTCAAGTGACACTTCTGTCTCAAATAAACATTTCATACCAGGAATATACGTGACAATCTGTCTCAAACAAAGATTTCATACCAGGGGATATACGTGACATCTGTCTCAAACAAAGATTTCATACCAGGGAATTTCATACCAAACAAGCATTTCATACGTGACCATCTGTCTCAAACAAACATTTCATACCAGGGAATATACGTGACAATCTGTCTCAAGTAAACATTTCATACCAGGGAATATACGTGACAATCTGTCTCAAACAAACCAGGGAATATACGATTTCATACCAGGGAATATACGTGACCATCTGTCTCAAGTGAAGACTTCATACCAGGAATATACGTTACATTCTGTCTGTCTCAAGGAAGATTTCATACCAGGGAATATACGTTACATTCTGTCTCAAACAAACATTTCATACCAGGGAATATACGTGACATTCTGTCTCAAACAAACATTTCATACCAGGGGATATACGTTACAATCTGTCTCAAACAAAGATTTCATACCAGGGAATATACGTTACATTCTGTCTCAAACAAACATTTCATACCAGGAAATATACGTGACAATCTGTCTCAAACAAACATTTCATACCAGGGGAATATACGTTACATTCTGTCTCAAACAAACATTTCATACCAGGGGATATACGTTACAATCTGTCTCAAACAAACATTTCATACCAGGGAATATACGTTACAATCTGTCTCAAACAAACATTTCATACCAGGGAATATACGTTACAATCTGTCTCAAACAAAGATTTCACATCATGGAACATACGTGACCATCTGTCTCAAGTGAAGACTTCATACCAGGGAATATACGTTACATTCTGTCTCAAACAAACATTTCATACCAGGGAATATACGTGACATTCTGTCTCAAACAAAGATTTCATACCAGGGAGTATACGTGACATTCTGTCTCAAATCTCAAACAAACATTTCATACCAGGGAATATACGTGACAATCTGTCTCAAATAAAGATTTCATACCAGGGAATATACGTGACCATCTGTCTCAAGTGAAGATTTCATACCAGGGAATATACGTGACCATCTGTCTCAAAAAAAGATTCATACCAGGGAATATACGTGACCATCTGTCTCAAACAAAGATTTCATACCAGGGAATATACGTGACAATCTGTCTCAAGTAAAGATTTCATACCAGGGAATATACGTGACCATCTGTCTCAAGTGAAGATTTCATACCATGGGATATACATGACACTCTGTCTCAAACAAACATTTCATACCAGGGAATACACGTTACATTCTGTCTCAAACAAACATTTCATACCAGGGAATATACGTGACCATCTGTCTCAAAAAAAGATTTCATACCAGGGAATATACGTGACCATCTGTCTCAAGTAAAGATTTCATACCAGGGAATATACGTGACCATCTGTCTCAAGTAAAGATTTCATACCAGGGAATATACGTGACCATCTGTCTCAAATAAAGATTTCATACCAGGGGATATACGTGACCATCTGTCTCAAGTGAAGATTTCATACCATGGAATATACATGACACTCTGTCTCAAACAAACATTTCATACCAGGGAATATACGTTACATTCTGTCTCAAACAAACATTTCATACCAGGGAATACACGTTACATTCTGTCTCAAACAAACATTTCATACCAGGGAATATACGTTACAATCTGTCTCAAGTGAACATTTCATACCAGGGAATATACGTTACAATCTGTCTCAAACAAACATTTCATACCAGGAATATACGTTACATTCTGTCTCAAGTGAACATTTCATACCAGGGAATATACGTGACAATCTGTCTCAAGTGAAGATTTCATACCAGGAAATATACGTGACAATCTGTCTCAAGTGAAGATTTCATACCAGAGAATATACTTGACAATCTGTCTCAAGTGAAGATTTCATACCAGGGGATATACATGGACAACGGTCCATTTGTCTCAGGTGAAGATATATCGTTCATTATACTCGGGATACATGGCAAGCAGTGGCGGATCCAGAGAGTTTATTGAATCACCATTGAACCTCTCGTGAAAACGGGTGAAAATGAAGAGTGCACCCCTCTTTCTCAAGAGTGTGCACCCCCCGTTTCTCTGAAAAGCTGTATCCGCCCCTGGAAAGTAACTTAATTGACACCCACGATCACTAGACACAGGATACACACACAATTATTTCTGTCTGTCAGAAAAGAAGATGAACCATGTGTGATAACCATGTGTATGCAAGAATGTCATCAGCTGACCACAACATACCGATGACGTCATGTGAAGCGGCTACATGTCGGGATGAATGTCAACTGCTGACTAAGATTTACCTGGTTATCGCGTCTGTTACAATCCAACCATTTGTCAAAGGATATACGGAGGGTCAATGTGGCCATCATACCTTCGTGGATGTAAATCACACGTCATAAGATGCATGAAGCGTCAACACGCATTGCTATTAATAGCATGTCTGCATATATGTCACAATTGACAAAAAGGTACTTTCCAATGTGTACTAATTATTTTGAACGTTCCATTTGGTTGAATATAAAACTGGTGAAACCTATGAAGCCTAATTAAGATGTATCATATTTATTTAACTACATTGCGGCTCACCTATCGTGAGCGCTCGAGTGAGTGAGGGAATGAGTGAGTAGGTTAGTTTTACGCCTCTTTTAGCAATATTACGGCGGGGGACACCAGAAATGGACTTCACACATTGTACCCATATACTGAATCGATCCTGGTTTCCCCAGCCGTGATACTGATGGATTATTGCTAAAAGAGGTGTAAAACTACACTCACTCACTGTGACGAGCGAACACTTTAACTACCTCACCGTCCCCTCGAGCGCTCGAACTTAATTGAAATTCAATGTACAATACATATAGACTAACGCTTAGTCTCTGAAAATTTATAATTTGGATCGAGAGAGATAACTCCATTTAAATTCAAAAGGAGCCCAAACGAGCTTCAGATTAAAAACCTGACTGAATCTTACTTCATTTAGGGCTTTTTCGTTGTTTGCTCTCCGGGCTGACGCTCTAACCACTACACCACGGAGGCGGTGTATGGAAATAATAACAAACAAAACCCATATTAAGTGTTTTTGTGACATATTATTATCCATTCATGTCGTCAAGAACAATGAAGACGCAATATAGTATTGTTCTAAACACTGACTGACTGACTGAGTTAGGTTTTACGCCGCTTTTAGCAATATTCCAGCAACATCACGGCGGGGGACACCAGAAATGGGTTCACACAATGTACCCATGTGGGGTGTTCTAAACAATGCACCAACGTGACGTTTTACATCACGTGGCCATTCAATTTAATAATTTACACGTGTAAATTCGTGAACGTTAGCGTTTTTAATCAAATTATGAAATCTCCGATCTCCCTAAAATATTTAATATAAACCTGTTTATGGATCGTATCACTATAACAACGATTCAGAACAAAACTTAAATGAAAAATATTTCAGTCATAATGCCAGGTGCCAAAAAAATCATATAAAAACAGATAAAATACTTTCTTCCAAATTCGCAGCTCACATTCAGGTTAATTTTTATATTTCGATTAAACAAGTCTTGTCCTGTCGTTTAATATCATTTATTGAATAATTCTTTAATAGTGTCCAGAAGATTATTTTTTTCAGTTGGTAAACAAGGGTGTATATTCATTAAAAAAAGTATGAAGGTGTAATTTATGAATATGCTGGGAAACATAATGCAATATATATCTACACGCGTAAAGGCTACTAACTGAAAACCAAAAGTGCTGCTATTTCCCTCCAATCCAATGATGTTAGGCCACGAATAGCAAGTGCTATTTTTAGCACATTGGCCTACTAATCGACCTAAATCACCGCCATGTTGGTGACGTCAAAAGCTCGGATACAGGAACACAATCAGTCGTAACTGCAAGATGCGGTCCCTTGTATTAACAGTGGCCAGTTTTGCTCTAACTGGTTTCGTTGTAGGAAATGCATACTATCAAAAGAAACAGTTTTATCCCTCCGTGGTGTATATTACCAAGTCGAATCCGAGTATGGCGGTGAGTTTCTCGTACCCAAATGTAAACTTCACCTTGGCATTGACACGCAGTCTTACCGGGGCAAAATGATCGTCTGCTCACTTGCCGGTACAATATGTGAAATATGATACCAGCATGATTGTTTTAGTTCATGGTCGTTTTTTAGATTCATTTAACTCGTTCGTAATTTGGTCCATATAAGTACCGGAGTGCAAATCCTGTAAATAAGAAAACAAGACTGGAAAACCAAAATCAGAATGTTTTCGATTTCAGATTTCAAAACAAATAGTTAGATCGGTCTCTTTACCCAAGTTTGTATGATTTAAAATCATTTGGATCCATCACAATTACCTTATTTGTGTCTATTATGTGACCTGTAAATTACATTTCACAATGTCAACACAATGGGCCAGAGAAATTGTTCACGAATTCAAAAGAACATCAGCATAATAGGGTGATTTGGTGTTAGGAGATGTGGCTAACATGCACGGAAATAACCTTTGATTCAACTTCTTGTGCTCTCCTGTCTCATCCCCAGAACATGGGGTAGTATCAGAGGTGGTGTTGTGGTCTAGTGGTAAAAGTGTTTGTTCACAAGCCCACATTTGATTAACAGGTACAGTAGCCTATCCATGGTTTGAAGCACATTCCAGTGTCCCAAGCTTGGTCTGGTGGCAATAACACTAAATCATGTAAATGCTATTTGAAACCCATCTCACTCAATATGTTTGGTCATAGTTTCAGGAAATCATTTAACGATTACCTGAGGCTCAATTGTTTACAAACTTATCATGATTATAGAAAATGTTTGAAATTTCTGGAATATTGCTGACTCATATAATCAACATTCACCTTTCATACAGACTACAGACAAGCAATATAGGAATAATAACAGAACATATGTTTGTCTTTGCCTTGAAATGATTGAGTTGTGTGGTGAACATAATATTCCTAGTGTCTCAACATGCCAAGGGGTGGTGGGGTAGCCTCATGGTTAAAGCATCCGCTTGCCATGGTGAAGGACTGAGTTTGATTGCCAACATTGTGCAAAGCCCATTCCTAGTGTCCTCTCCCGTAATGTTGCTTTAATATTGCTAACAGTGGTGCAAATCCCCATTCATCCACTCAAAGTGCCCAAACAGTTTACCAAAATATTGTTGAGTTCAAAGAAGTATTGTCTCCGTATGTCTCCATATGGATAGATTGGAAGTTTGGTGGAGTGACAGCATTTACCAAAATATGTTAAAAGATGGTACTCCTTGTTTATGTGTCTAGTGCTCAGTCATTTCGAATAAAACATGGACTGGTATCTCAGTCGGTGTACTGATTATAACCAACTGTGTCTTTTATTTAATTTGTCAGTAATGTTGTCACATGTCATTGTCAGGACAAGTTAACACTGTCAACATGGTCAAAACATATCACATTGTTTATTTTGTTATCATTTGACTGAATATGAAGACCGTAACGTCAGCTGGTGGCGTGTTATGGAAATCGGGTAAATCATTGTATTCCAACTATGTATTGTATTCACCTCACAGTAGCATCATTGCAGCCCTACTGCTAGACTAAGGCTTAGTCTCTGATTTTATTTAATTTTGATAGTAACAAACAAGCCCATTTAAATTGAAAAGGAGCCCCAGGGAGACCAGAGATTCAGAACCTGAACCTGGGGAAATCTAGACTTGCTTCGTTTAGGGCTTTAGCACTACAGGGAAGGCTAGGCTGTAGGGAAAATAATGTGGTTCAGGGACTGTGAGACAGACTACCCTACTGCGTACAATCCCATTTCTACTCCTATGAAAAACAACAGCAAAACACAAAGGGCCATGTTCTTGTTTGTGTGACAGACAGCTGAACACTTATCCCTTAAAAAAGCGTGTTTTTTAGGACTTTTGAGGGTGCTTTTGTAGGTTTTGCAAGCCTACATTCAGTACATTAACTCTGTACTCATGGTATCTGTATACTGTCATGATGTTATAGCAGGAGTTCATGCAGCTGTGTTGAAATATGCCTCCATAACGCCGTTGATATGGCACATGAGCTCTGTTCTTTTCAGAGCTACAGACCAGCTAGCAATGTTCTATGGGAAGTCTTGATAGAAACAGCATAATGAACTATTACATTCTGCCGTTTAGACAAATATGACATTTTGTGGAAGTATCAGTTGGGATCTTTGTCCATCTAGCTATGTTATACTATTACTAGTACTGATACTGAAACTGAGATAAATATTGCTGTAATATTCTGCATGGATAGATAAGTTCTGAATGTAGATACTATCCAGTGTTCATGAATAGCGTTGGACCTTCGGACAAATGCGGCAGATTCACCCACAGTCCGATGGAAGTCTACAACCCGTCGGCCCCAGTGTCCGACTGTATATTTCACAATGACTTTGATTGAAGTTGTTATATGTGTCACACTTGTTTGCTGTCTATAAATTTTACGTTTGTTAATAATTTCAACGCCAATTATAATATAAGAAATGTTAAATCTGAACTGTGTGTTTAATTTTTATTCTATGGGTCCTGTGAATTTTCAGTGGGTCAGACAGACATCTGAAACTTACAGGACCCCATGTGCTGTTACTTTGAAACACCATTCGTGAACACCGAGATACATGTCATAATGATGATAATCATGATAATTATTATAACTGAAAGATCGAGGTTAGAATTGGTCTTCAGTAGCCCATGCTTGTCATAAAAGGCGACAAACGGGATCGGGTGGTCAGGCTCGTTGACTTGGCTGACATATGTCATCTTATCCCCATTGCGTAGATCGATGCTCATGTTGTTGATCATTGGATTGTCTGGTCCAGACTTCGATTATTTATAGACTGCTGCCATATAGCTGGAATATTGCTGAGTGTGGCGTAAAACTGAACTCATTACTACTATAACTTGACAATATTGGCTTTCTCTTAGGTTTCATGATACTGCACTTTAGCAGAAGTACAACAACATTATGCGTTATTCAGTATTAACTAGTGATGGACAAGGACTATATGAAGAGAAAACAGTACTTCACAAGTTCTGATATGCTGAGTTCAAAGTTAAGAATCGAAGTTATGAGATTCTTGCATTAGCCTTAATGTTAATAATCACATGGTTACATTGATTTAAGGGAGTGCTACATTTGAATACTGTAGTAAGGACTCCAAGACACTTTTGGGCAGTGGGATTGCTTAGATGTTAAAGTATTCTTTCATTATGCTGAACACCTAGGTCATTTCCCCACATAGGTACAATGTGTGAAGTTAATTTCATGTGTCCCCGCTGTGATATTGCTGGAAATTGCTAAAAGCTTCATTAAACCATACTCACTCACTCACTCCAGCCATTATATTTTGAATAATTGATGTGTCATCTTATTTAGAACCCTATATCATGTGTTTTGTTTCTTTACAGGTGCTCTACATTCAGGCCTTTGTGTTTGTAATACTCATGGGCAAACTTATGAGAAAGATATTTTTCGGTCAGCTAAGAGCAGCAGAAATGGAGGTATGTATAAATGTTTCTGTTTCCAAACTCTTGTCTTCAAGCATAAATTTGAAGCATGTTTGTTTTGAAGATGTAAATTAATCTGCAAGGCTGGAGCAATATATAAATCTTTGTGTAAGCTGGGTCAGAACTGCAACTGTCATTGCATTGCTGAAAATATAGTTATCATTATGGTGATGCAGGGTTTTTATATGTATTTTTGGTGGAAATATACCCAAATAGTAAGAAAGAGAAATGTTGATGCCCAGTTTAGGTGTCTAAGTGATAAGTAGGTGATAAGCATAAAAATGGAGTAAAATATGTGTCTATTTATTGTCTCCTGTACAGACTGTACAAAAGTATTTGAAAGTGTTCAAGTAAATCTACAACACTTTGGCATGTTTGCCAAATATAGCTTTCTTCTCTTTCTGAAAATAGAACTATCCCTCGATTCCATTAACACATTTAAAGGATTGTATTCCTCAATCATGTCTTAAGAGAGTTTGTGAAGTATTTTCTTTTCTGAGCCTAAATGTTAGTGCATATGTGTGTACTGTGCCATTCTAATGTTGCAGCATCTCATAGAGAGGTCCTGGTATGCTGTCACAGAAACTTGCCTGGCCTTTACAGTGTTCAGGGATGACTTCAGTCCACGTTTTGTGGCCATGTTTACCTTACTCTTGTTTCTAAAGTGCTTCCATTGGCTGGCAGAGGATAGGGTTGATTATGTAAGTCATAGAAATTATTGATTAAAATAATGTAAACAATTTCTGTTATTAATTTTGTTTGTAAATTTGTTTTTCTTTTTTAATCATATGAAATTCTTGATATTCAAATTTATGAATTATTGTTATGTTTACTGATGTTTTCTGTACATCTGATTTTATTGCAATATGTTCCATTTCAGATGGAAAGAAGCCCTGTAATATCTATATTGTTTCACTGTCGAGTATTATGTAAGTATCAATCATGGTGTCACAACTGTTACAATCTGTGCCGAATAATTTTTGTCATTGAGTCCATTTTAGCATCATGTTCAAAACATTTTTGTCATAGTATGGACCATCATTCGTTGAGCTTACTGGACCAATAAGAATTTCAGCATTGTATTTTAACACTGCATTCAGTGCAGGGATGTAGAAGTAAGGAATTTTAATCAGTGCCATTCCATTGATCCCAGTGTCAGTAGTATAAAAGTGATCCCTTACCAAAGATGTTACTATTAATTAGAAGATTTTTGATATGATTTGGGGGAATTTTTTCTGATTTATTCTGCTGTCTCTGGGATGAGTTTTGGCCCCTGAACAGGTCTGGATATACCACTGTAACCTTGAATGGCTTTGAGATTGGTAAACTTTAAATGGAAGTGTCAATCATTGATGTTTTATTTTGTTTCAGCACTTTTGTCGTTTCTTGGTGTTTTGGATGTTTACTTCATAAATCATGCTTACTACAGCACCTTGTTGAAGGGAGCATCTGTGCAGTTGGTGTTTGGATTTGAGGTATGCTCACATATCTCATCCCATTAATAGCTGTTAGACTTATCTGTACCTAGATCAGTAGATGTCTTATGAGTATAAGGCAAGAAGAAATTCATTTAAATTTTATCTCAAACGTTTTGTGGAGGCATTTTATTGTTCCCTGCTGTGTAGTGGATGGGTGATAAAAGAAGGGTGCTGTTGGCCATCCTGTTTTTCATCCAGGAAGGGGTTGAATATCATAAAATATTTGTCCTTCTGAGTGAGTGAGTGAGGTTAATTTTCACGCGCACTCAGCAATATTCCAGCTATATGGCGGTGGTCTGTAAATAATCGAGTCTGGACCAGACAATCCAGTGATCAACAGCATGAGCATTGATCTGCACAATTGGGAACCGATGACATGTGTCAACCAAGTCAGCGAGCCTGACCACCCGATCCCAATGGTTGCCTCTTACGTTGTCCTTCTGAGATGGCATTTAGGTTCACTTCAGTGCCTGGCAAGTTTTTAATCTCAGAATATTTGTTTGGTATTAATTATATTACTGCAATATAGTGGCATTTAAAAATAAAGAAAATGTTTATGCAGCAGGAATTTTGAAATCACACTATCTGGATTAATCCGCGTGTTTTCTCGTTTGCTTCATTGTCATTCCTACTTTATGAACAGCCCTGAAAAATTTGATCTTGGAGCTTTAGTTTGACCCAATGTTATGTCTGACTTGTTTCAGTATGCAATCCTACTGACAGTAGTGTTGATGACCTTCATGAAATACGTACTGCACACAGTAGATCTACAGAGTGAGAACCCTTGGGAGAACAAAGCTGTGTATCTCTTATATACAGAGCTTATCATGGGTACGTACAAATTCAGGGATAAGTAATTATACAGGTATTAGACCTGGATTGTTACCAAACACAAAATTAATTCTGCTCTTAAATTTGTCAACCAGCAAAACTATTGCTGTCATGATAAATAAATGCTAACCAACATATTGAAATGTGGAAATATTATTCTCCACATTGCTAAAACGCTAGTTTGGTGTCTTTGTAATAAAAGTTAAGGGGACATAATATGCACGAGGTCTAAAATTTTCAGTTATTGGTATTAAGGAAGGGGCACTAATGATGTGTATACCTATATTAATATCTGCCACTCTGAAGTGGAGGGTGATATGGGACTTGGTACTCTCTCTTTCTATCCATCATGTTTCATTTACAGAGCATACCTTGAAGACTGTTTACTGTTATATTATGAAAGTTTGCACATTTGTCAAACTCATGCTGAACTGGTGCTTATTGATGAATTTATTTTTGTGTGTTTCCTTGGCAACATATTAGACTAATGCGTGTAACAATTGTTGCCGGAACATAACTCAGAATCTGTATATTTGCTCAATTAGTGCATGGTGTTGTACTGGACAAGTCTCCTCGGAAGCTAATGAACCTACATGAATAAGGCTTTGCAAGTTTAACAATGAGCTACTTAGGAATTTGAGTTTAAAACTTGATGCCATAAATATGACAGCAGTTGGGAGTTACATCCCTTGCTGCATGTATATTTTACATTTCTTGCTTATCAATGTTAACTTCATATATTTCATTGTCACTATACCCTCGCGTCATGGGTTTCCATGGTATTAAGAAATTTACGACTATGAATATGATCGCTGATATTGTCAAGTCATATAAACATAACATAGTGTTAGGCGACATACCTTTGTATCATTTAATGTCACTTTTGTCATTCTGAAGTTCAATTTTGTCCGTATCAGACGACAGGCAGCCATTGTGCACAAACTCTGGTGACGTCTATATGTTTCCTTGGTATTCCCTACAGATCAAATTACGGGCGCACAGCATATGTCACAATCTCACACGTTGTCAACAGCCAATCCGAAGTGTGAATGTAGGTTTACAGTAATAACGAAGTTGATAAATTGTAATACAGTCAACGATTTTATAAAATTAACACAATAGTCACATTTCTTCAGCATAAATTTCCAGTTCACAAAATATGTAAGAGTTCATCAACGGGATACGCGAAGTGAAAAGTGAAAAAACGACTTTAGAGATGACCCTATCGGGCTTCCATAGTTTAAAAAATAGAGCTGGGATTCCTCCCTTCAGTCACGTGATTATTTTTATTGATTTCATCAGCTAGCAGACGAGCGATGTTTGGAAAACTTTGAAGCTTAATAAGTTTATAGAAAATGTTTGTAAAGATTGCACAAAAAGTGCATTACGTGCTATACATAAAGTTGCATTAGTTTTTAATAGTGGATGACTGTACGTACGTACACAAATTGAAGAAAGTCTGAACATTTTTTGGTCAGAGCCGTGACGATCGACTGATGAAACGTAAACAATCGATAGGTGGCGCAGATTTGGTGAGTGGCTCGTGAGAAATTATGTCATTAGAAAATACCACGGAAACGTAAGTACCACGGATTCGTATGACGGCATGGTATAAACAAACAAAATTCTCATTCGCTCTGTGATGGGGAATAGCAATAACACTGTTTCCAGCCTTCAATTGGAATCTCTTCATGGTTTGATAAGTTTCTGTCTTTGTTTCAGGGTTCATTCGAGTCATGCTGTACATAGTGTTTATGGCAATTATGATTAAGGTGCACACCTTCCCATTATTTGCCATCAGACCGATGTACCTTTCACTCAGGTAAATACTTACTCCAACACCTTGTGATCTATTTACTCATAAATGCATTGAAATTGGTAATTATCTCTGTGATTACGCAAATCTGTATTTTTGCTCTGAGAAAAGGTTTCAGTGTTTTCCTAATTAAATTGGATGTCTTTGTTTAAGGTCTTTCAAGAAGGCTCTTCACGATGTGATAATGTCTCGGAGAGCCATAAGAAATATGAACACATTGTAAGTGATACATTCCTGTTTGCATGATACAAGTGTTTTGAGAATATATAAGTTTATTGTTATGTGTACTGTTCCATAGCTTCTAACTGTCCTCTAGGGGCGATGGGATAGCCTATTGGTTTAAGATTTCACTTCTTATACCGAAGACCCGAGTTTGAATCCCCACATGGGTACAATTTCTGGTGTTCCCAGCCGTAATGTTGCTGACATAATGCTGAAAGTGGCGTAAAAACTGAACTCCCTCAAACTCAGCCATGAAGATCCGGGTTAGAATTGATCTTCAGTAGCCCACACTTGTCGTAAGAGGCAACTGACGAGATCGGTTCCTCGCATCCCCATTGTGTAGATCCATGCTCATGCTGTTGATCACTGGATTGTGTAGTCCAGACTTGCTTAATTACAGAACGCCACCATATAGCTGGGATATTGCTGTGTGTGGCCTTGAACAACAAACAAACCAACAAAATCTAAATGTCCTCAGTGTGCCAAGGATTAGGGCTTCAGTGAGGTAGCCTATTGCTATAAACTGTAAAACCATGCCAACTCCTTCACTTACTCCAAGAATATTTGTTAGGTACATTCATTTCATGACTTGCCCACTAGGCACAAATAAATTTTAGTGATGTATTTTACGTTGTCATATGTTTTTAGCTTGACTTTTTCATTAACTTCATGCAAAAAACTGTACGAAAGCATTAAGGGTTTTGATGTTATGATTGAATGTTCTATTCTTTTTAAAAGGTACCCAGATGCAACTCCAGAGGAACTAGAAGCTGGGGACAATGTGTGTATTATTTGTCGAGAAGAGATGGTTACATCTTCCAAAAAACTGCCTTGTAATCACATCTTCCACACCAACTGTCTGAGATCCTGGTTCCAGCGACAACAGACCTGCCCAACCTGCAGGATGGACGTGATGCGCATGCCCCGTCCACAGCCAACTCCTGCAGCCAGGCCACCTCAACCCGAGCAGGATGTCCAGATGCAGAATTGTAAGTATGACAGGGATAGAATTAAACCACTAGCTAGTTCTCATTTCTCCAAGTTTAATGTATCATGAAGGCTTGTGATATTTAAGATGTTTGGATGTGACTAGTGCCAGAGAATCTTTTTCTATTTGTTTTGATGTCTTTTGTTTGGTTCTTACCTGCTGCATTTGATGATTTACTATCTTTGTTGTGTGTTCTTTTACAGTTCAAGCCATGTTTCAAGGGATGCCTTTTTGGCCCCCTCCACAGCTTCCAGCCCAACAACCACAAGGTAAGCAACACAGACACCCTTCATTCTTTTCACCTTTCAGATTAATTATTTATGTCCCAGTTCTAGCTTTCTTTCTTTTTAAGAAAAAAATGTTAAAAAATGATAACAGTCTTTAAAATACGCATCCGTGATTTTATTCCACAGGTGAGGTAAAACTCACTAAAACATACAGCTATTCCAAATGCTAATCCAATCATTATGCAACTTTTGTATTGTGTTCTATTATTATCAACTGTAACTGTGATGATTTGTTGTGACCCAGATATTTGATGTAATCCTTATTGTAGTGAAAAAGTTGAAAGCATTAATTTTTCCTTATCCTGACTCATGCTTTTTTGCTTGTCTCCTTCTTCTTGCGAATGATAGTGGAACACTTGAATCCCTTTTTGAAGCTCCCTTAATAAAAGCGGACGTAAAATCACTCACCCAAGGTTGCCTCCCTTTACTGTTTTGGCGCCTAAATCAGTCACATGATAGCCCATGCTTGTCACTCTCTCCTTCTTCGCCCTAGAGGACGGTTGTGAGAGCGCCTGGATCCCCTATACGGCACTATATCCTTTTAATTTTAAGCCTTTACCGCAAAATTTAGCTGTATATGGCATTTAGGAAGATATACCAGCAATATGGTTTGAATTTTTGTCTAATTTATCTGTTTTTTTCACGTTGTTGACATGATATTTCATCTTGTTTACAATTGATGAAAACTTGCATTCGTTGCAGGTACCGGTTGTCTACATGCTCTTCCAGCTTTCGCTGTCAACTTTGTCAGCATTTATCTGAAATTGAATTCAATAATTATTTATAATCCATTCTTAGACGTGCTAAGGACTGGTCTAGAAGGCATTTACAAGTCATATCTAAACCGAGTGAATGCGCTGATAACCGTTTATTGTTTGCTGCTGAGATTCACCATTCCATTGTCAACGTCTGAAGTAGCCTCGTCGCAGTCCAAGAAGACCAGGGCATCGTCTGCAGGTCATCGACTGCAGATAAGACTTCGGTGAAGTCTTCCCACGGTGCAGCACAGAAGATGAGGTCCTTCTCTGCAGAGATCATCCCTCCAGACGAAGTAGACGTGTATGACATTCCACGTATCCTCATTCCTGAAGTAGCAGTTAAGAAGAAGACGAGATCCTCTTCTACAGCGACATCAGCAGCCAGCACAGACAGATGATCTATCAACACAGACATCAGGTACCAGAGACGTCAGTTCTTCACAAGTACAGCGCTCCTTGGAAGAAGCCTCATCCCTCTCAGGTGCGTCGTCATCTCTGCAGCAGCAGCAGCCGTCGTCGCAGAACTTCAACCCGGGTATCTTTATGCAGCAGTACACTGAGCAGATGTTAGAGCTGATGGGACGCAGCTGCGCGCGCATGAGAAGGCTGCGGCGAAGACCCCATCTACGACAAGCCTGCACGAAGGACAAGCAGTCTGCACTTCGCATCCGGTTGAAGATAGAAGCCTGCGTGAAGGAGGAAGCCTGCGTAAAGGGTCACTCACTCGACGATCGTCTACGGCAACTTCCAGAGACCCTGGCAGCCCTGATAACGATGAGACTGCTGTAGATGTTCCAGAAGCAGATCACAAGGATCATCTTCGACCTCAGATATGGACAACCATCAGGTGACTGCACGCAGGCACTCCTCATCCCGTAGAAGAGAATCTACACCTTCTGGAAGGCGCAGAGATACGCCTCAAGACTCCAGGGAGGAACCTTATCCCAACCAGTCACCTGCGCGCAGGTCTTCAGGCAGGTCTCCATGCAGATCTCCAGGCAGCTCTTCAGGAAGGGATTCACAGTGGCGACCATCTTCAGACCGAGAGGCCACTAGATCTGAAGATGATGGCGGAATCATATTTTCCGATACAGAGATCAAATCTTGGATTGATGATATGAGAACTACAAAACCACCAACAACTCCCGATCTAGAACTTATAAGATAGAGGATAAGAAGCTGGCACAACTAGATACAACTACTAGACGTACCTTCTTTGGTCTCGCCAGATCAAGAGCCATTAATGAAACCCTCATCGCTAAGTTCAGGAACTCGACCTCTGAAGAGGATCGGATGATTTACTCTGCATTACTGACCCAAAAGAAGGATCATCAGTTTATGTCCGAACATCTGGCATCCACGTCAGCAGGCCTGACGCTCCTGAGAAGACAAGGTTTGCTGTCTTCCTGCAACTGGAGTGAGCGGTTCACTAAGACGTTGTACAGAGCTCCGTGGTCAGCATCATCCATCTTCGCAGGGGAAATTGATGCTGAGCCAAAGAAGCTATGAAAGAGTCAAGGGAGGTGATGATGATCAAGTCCATCGACACACTAGCCGGTGTAACCCCGGAAGAGGCCGAGCACCCAGAGGTGCCAGAGGATTTAGACGCTGATGGATGGGTTTGGAACGACTGGGGTCTTCAACCCCCAGCCGCTCCCATACAACCTTCGACAGTGGGTGGACGTCTGCAACGCTACTGGGAGAATTGGGGAATTCTTCAGGACGACTACATATCCCAGATCCTACGCAGAGGATACAAGATACAACTGCAAGCAGTACCATCGCTTACAAGCAACCCTCTGACCCATATCTACGCTGCCGACCAGATGGAGAAACTACACAATGTCGACCAGATGGAGAAACTACACAATGCCATCACAACTCTACTTGCGAAAAAGGCAGTCGAAGAGATAAAACAGGAGCTCATCATGCCCAGTTTTTATTCCCCAATCTTCCTAGTACCAAAGAAACATTCCAAGGAAAAGTTCCGACTCATCTACCACATGAGGAAATTCAACCAAGATTATCTACGCAGACCCGCTAAGTTCAGGATGATACATCTTCCTCAGCTGCGACAACTCGTTCGTCTGTTAGACTACCTCGCCAGCATAGATCTACAGGATGCGTATCTTCACATCCCGATTTATCCGGACTCAAGGAAATACCTACGATTCCTCTTCAACAGATGTCATTTCCGATGGAAAGTGCTACCATTTGGAATATCGTTGGTCCCCTGGTTGCTTACTCGAGTGACAAAGCCCATCATCACATATCTACATCATCGAGGTCTACGCAGTGCATTTTACCTGGACGACGGGATTCAAATTCATCAAGATCAACTCAGTCAACTCAGACTGCAACAAGACTTAACCATCAGGCTTCTCACTCAACTAGGATAGCTAGTAAATCTCCCCAAGTTGGAACTAGAACCAACACGGGATCTTCAATTCCTAGGAATGCGGCTCATCACGTCGGCAAATCGCATAGTCGTCCCAGAGGAGCGTTGGGTCAAGATACAACACATGATATCTCAAGCACTACTCTCTCCGTTACCACTCACGAAGTTGGCAGAGCCTACTCGGTCTTCTTACGTCAGCTCAAGACATGACTCGCAGAGGAAGACTACAAGTGTTCGTGAACGCCCATCTCGACAGTCTGGACCTCTTCGTGTTACCGGACAGTCTGAAACCGTATCTTCTATGGTGGACTCGGAAGTCGAATGTCTGCGGAGGAACCTATTTATCAGAGCCGGAGTGCAGCACTCATCTCTACGTAGATGCATCGCTTCAAGGATGGGGAGCTCACTTTGACAACGAAGTGGCAGCAGGGAAATGGTCGAGTCAGGAGCAGAGCCTGTACATCAACATGCTCGAGATGAAAGCAGTAATATACTCCTTACTACACTGGTCCAGCATACTAAGGAACGCACAACTGATGATCCATACGGACAACTCCACAGTAGCGTTCTACATCAACAAACAAGGATCAACAAGATCAAGAAATCTTCTAGATCTCAGCTTTCATCTGTTCAGCATAATAGACGACCTGAACATCTACATAAAAGCATGCCATATTCCGGGAGCCAAGAATGTGATAGCAGATGCCCTATCTTGTCCTGCACAACCATCCCCGACGGAATGGATGTTACATCAGAAGCCTTCCGATGCATCATACAGATGATAGGATCTCCGCTGATAGACCTGTTTGCCACAAAGTACAACAAACAACTACCAACATTCGTCTCTCTGATTCCCGATCCATAAGCATGGGCAACAGATGCTCTAAGCATCTCTTGGGAAGGACTAAACGCTTAAGCGTTTCCACTTCCAGCTTTAATATCGCAACTGATTTTGGTAGCGCCCTATTGGCCAGCAAGGGTGTGGTTTCCCATCCTCATGCAAGAACTCGGAAGTCCAACCCTGAACTCCCAGAGTGTCCGAACCTACTCATCCATCCGCACACCAAGCAAGCACACGGGAATCCCACAGTGTTCCAGTTACACGCATGGAGCGTATCAAGACTTGCTTGAGAATAGAGGATATTCCGCTAGAGCAGCGAAAGCAGTGACACTAGCTCTACGTAGATCAACCCGCAACTTGTACGACGACAAGTGGCAGAGATTTGAGGAATACGCTTTGAGGAAGGGCTTCACGGCGATGAAAGCAATGCATCCTCAAGTGGCGGAATACCTATGTTATCTAAGACAAACGAGGCGGTTAAAAGGCCCTCAGCACGGTTATCACCATCAAGTTTGGTGTTAAGCTGACCAAAGTACCAGAGCTACTGCCACTACTACTCTCCTTCAAGTTGGAAGACCAACAAAAGACGTTTAATGCGCCTACTTGGGATCTCAACGTAGTCTTGCAGCGTCTCACCAGTGACGCTTACGAACCACTAGAAAGGATATCTTACGAGTTTTTAATGCACAAAACTCTGTTCCTGATCGCTTTGGCAACAGCAGCACGGATGTAGGAGATACATGCTCTGGACTTTGAACGAATACGATTTGATGCACATCGTAACATCGTACATCTAGGACTGAGATGGGATTTCATAGCAAAGAACCAGCTGCCCGGACAGACAGTTCCACATCCCAGCACTCTCTACAGTCCTTGGGCCACAGGATATCCAGGATCTATCCTTATGCCCAGTCAGAGCATTAAAACTCTACCTACAAAGAACTAACACCAGGAGACGAAAATTCAAGCGCCTTTTCATCCCTCTATCCACGGAGACAACCACAGAAGTCTCACATACAACAATATCCATTTGGATGAGAGCCGTCATCTTAAGGGCCTACAAAGCGGCAGGACTTGAGCATACACGAGCCTCCAACCCTCATGAAGTCAGAGCTCTGGCATCAACACTCGCTCTGCATGGAAACTGCTCCATCTCGACTATAATGGAGGGCTGCTTTTGGAAGTGATGAAAGCAGTAATAAAAGCCTTACTACACTGGTCCAGCATACTAAGGAACGCACAGCTGATGATCCATACAGAAGTCGGAGACGGTGTTTGCCAACCACTACCTCAGAGACATTGCTACCGAGGATGTCTCCGGCATTCACCAGCTTGGGCCTCTTGTTGTAGCACAACAATTGACGGTTCCACAAAGGCGCTGAGATGGATCTCACCCTTTTTCACGTGACTTGTAAAAGCCAACGCTCTGGAGAGCTAGAGCTTTAGAGTCCATGCGCACGTCTAAGACAGACCAGCATGATTGATAGACCCTGTACTTGTAAAGGAGTTACTCGTACATGAAGAAGGGTCGCTTCTCCACTTGATGCAAGCATCAAGACATGGAGTAAATAAACCACACATAATGTCAGGAGAAGAGTTCCAGAGAATATGACAAGTTGTGGTCCCCCCAGACTCATCAGAGGAAGCTGGAAGAAAAGGATCAGCACAAGTGCCATAAGAAGTTCCCACGGGGGGAATGCAGGACGTAAATCAGCAACCTATGAATCCAGAAGTGGCCTGACCCACCACCGGTTTTCATCACATTCTACAAGCAAAAAGCATGAGTCAGGATGAGGAAAAATATGTAATTTTCTGACTAAAATTGATATTTTATACTTATTCTGACTAATGAGGTCAGTACTCCCAACCTCCCCTCATGGCACTCTGGATTTTCCTATAAATCCGGGTGTCGGGGCTCATAAATGGAGAGAGTAACGAGCATGGGCTATCATGTGACTGATTTTGGCGCCAAAACAGTAATGGGAGGCAACCTTGGGTGATTGATTTTACGTCCGCTTTTTTGAAGGGAGCTTCAAAAAGGGATTCAAGTGTTCCACTATCATTCGCAAGAAGAAGGAGACAAGCAAAAAGCATGAGTCAGGATAAGTATAAAATGTCAATTTTAATCAGAAAATTACATCTTTATCTCAGCAGCAGGAGGGGCCCCAAACACTACAGGTACAACTCCTTCGACACCTACTACACCCACAACTCCAACAGCTTCTACAGCAACAAGTACAGCCCCGGGCACTCCACCATCACCATTCCCTGGTGCCATGCCCCCATATGGTTCCTTCTTTCCTATGATGCCATACTACCCTCCCTTTGGTATGACTTTTTCAGATACTTCATTCAGCAGTATGATGATATCTTTCATGCTTCGTCACGATGTGGCTGAAATATTGCCGATAACTTAAATAATAACTCACTCACTCACTCTTTCATGGTTCTGAGACATATGGTAGTAATATATTTGCTGTGATTTAGATCTTGGGTGCTCAGAACACTGGTAAAGGAGAGTTTACTTTGTAAAATCATGGGGTAGCCTAGTGGTTCAAGCGTTCGCTCATCATGCTGAAGACCCAGGTTCGATGCCCCACATGGGTACAATGTGTGAAGCCCATTTCTGGTGTCTCCCGCCATGATATTGCTAGAATATTAACAAAGGTGGCGTAAAACTATGCTCACTCACTCACTCTCTAGTAAAATCATACACAGTGGGAAAAGCAAACATTGTTCCAACCTCAGTCAAACTCATTATTATATCCACCGCCTAAAATAAGGAATATTATATGTAAGTGTTTGAACTTTGTATGGTTGCTTTTAAAATTACTCATAAATCAGTATAGAAGTTGGTCAGCAGGCATTTTGAATATTTGCTTAATATGGCAACATGGTATGTTTCATGGTCTCTAATGAACTGCATAACACACTGCAACTGTTAACTTTTTTCGTATTAGCTATAACATATTGTCTACAATATGTTCTTCACAACACATATGAAAGAACAGTATGATCTTTACAGAAAAGATGTATTTACAGTGACCGATTAAGAACTGCATACACTCTGTGATGATCAGATGTTTTAAGAGTACAACTGAAACTAGGGCTTATTGTGTTTACAGGCTTTCCACAAGCTCCGTCTAACATGACTGGGTTGTCTACAGAGGAGCTCAAGATGATGGAGGGCCAGGAGCGAGAGAATGTGGAGGCACGGATTCAGTGGTTACGTGATATACAGGCACTACTGGATGGTGCTATGGTTCTTATAAACCAGTATAACCAAGTGGCTTCACAGATGAGGTAAGCTGGAAGTGGAATCTACTGTGTATTGTATTACTGTGAGCGAAATGCAGGGATATACAGTGAAATATCATTGATTTGAGTTATCAGTTGCTTCAGAGAAGGGGCGGTGGGGTAGTCTCGGTGGTTCAGAAGAAGTCCTCCTTGGGGTACATATAAGCATTAAAATGTCCATTTTAAATCCTACGACAGTTGTAACTATATTTTTAATAAAATATTTACAAAACAAAAACTCGCTTTGTCTTGTGAGACCACCCCCTACAGGGCCCCACCGACCAACACAGCCAAGAGCAGGTAACTCGCCGCCTACCTCGTGACCTCACTTTTCATGCTGTCGCTCTGTTGAATAGACGCGGCGCGGTGTTCGCTTCGAAGTTTGCTCTCCCACCGATAATGATGAGTGTAAAAGAGTCTCAATCTGTATGTATGGTTCCTTTCTCACGCACGGCGCTAGATGGACGCCATATGTGGATATTTTCATTCATCTTTGTTGTAACTTTGCCGGGGGTCTCTGTTTTCCAGCCATGTGGCAGGCAAAATGGCGGACCGCCACGATCGCGGGTTTCCTTGCTATATGTTCTTGGTAGCTTGTAGTAGGGAGTTCATATATTATGTTTGCATATTATATGGTAGGCTTGCCTAAATTCTCTTCTTTCAGCTTAATTTGTGGTAAGTCGTTGTTGAGTAATTTTGATAGTGTTCGCTTCAGATCACTCACCAACTTTACTCTATCACTAGTACACGAGGGGTGGCTAGCCTTTTTCTGCTTTGCATTGTATGTTTAGTATTTAAATGGCTGTAGCTTGTAGCATTTATATATCGCCCGCGCGGATTATTCTTGCTATTACTTGTGTTTATGTGTTTGCTGCTTCACAGTTCCTGCTAGTAACACTGGCGCGGTTCTGTTTGTTGCAGTTTAAGCCCTGTGCGCAGCAGCCATGCACACTACCGCCACAGGATGGTTATAAAGTGTGCCTCCGTGTTTAGCCGAGGACGCCACGACGCATCAAGGATGCTCATAATAAACGCCTTTGCGCCAATATTCCTGTTACATTATGTTGTATTATGATACATATTTCATACGCTTACACACAACGCGGCTCATAGGCCGAGGTTGTGGTTTTGTCTGGGTTTCTGCTACCACGCCAAGATTCTTTCCGACACGCAGATTTTATGTTTTTCACTAATCTGCTTCAGGCGGGGATAATATTTGATAAAAGGTTTCTAAGGAAATCCCTTTATCGCTTCCCCAAAACAATGTTGCTGACTTAAATATGACTCAATTTGCTTCACTATTGCAGCAACATATTCTTCAACATAATGTCAATTCGATGATTGATAGCGCCATGTCCGGCCCGTAAGGAGCTCGCTCGCAGTGTTGATCTCGGCGTAAGTTCACCAGGTGTCGCCTGTGGTGAAATTCCCACCGATTGACACGGTGCTGTCTGGGTTCCGCAAGGAGCTCAGCACGCCTGTCGCCGGGGTGGATCGGACGATCTGGGGGTTGGCGCGCCCGAGCTCTGGCTCGAGAACGCCAGCCCTCCCAGGCAGCTTGATCCTGGCTTCGCTCAGGTGATGGTGTGCCTTCGCACCTTGTGGCTTACCCAGCTTCGGCTCAGGTTCGCCACGGGCTCTGGCCGGGCGATGCAGGTTTTGCCCTGTCTTCGCCTGGTGCCCTGACTGGCGGTCGCCAGGCGCAGACCAGCTCGGGACACCGGGCGCTCTTCGCACCTTGTGGCTTAATTAGCTTCGGCTCAGGTTCGCCACGGGCTTCTGGCCGGGCGATGCAGGTTTCGCCTGCAGGTTTTGCCCTGGTGCCCTGACTGGCGGTCGCCTAGGCGCCACCAGCTCGGGACACCTCGGCGCCACGCGGTCAGTCGGGCTGCCCGGAAACCTGTATATCGGCAGGTTCCTCTCGGCTCGTCTGTTCCACTGAGCTGCCGATCACCTCGGGCGCCCTAGGTCTACCTGTGTCCACCAGGGGCAACCTGCATTGCCAGGCTACTCCCTTTGTGTCTCGACTGCAGATCGACTAGCACCGACCTGGGCTTCGCCCCGCACGAGCAGATCCCCGGCGCTGTTAGCTCAGGTCTCGCCTGATGTCTATCGATGCCCTGGCCAAGAGGCCGCTGAGTGTGACGAAGCTGCCGATCACCTCGACGCCGAGGTTCACCTGCACTTACACCAGGGGAGCCCTGCATTGTCAGGCCACTCCCATGTTTGGGGATCGGGTTCAACTCGAACCGCCGACCCGAAAGCACTGACGCATATACATGTGTATGTATGGGTATTTATATAGCCATAGGCTATGTTTGACTATACCAGTGCTTTTTGAGAGTACTTGGGGAAACCTGATTTATCAGGCTACTCCTACGCAGTCTCGATCGGGTTCGGCTCTAGAACAGCTGAGCTTCGCTCTGGCGGATTCTCTGAACCCTCGCGGGTAGCGCCGACCCAGGCTTCGCACTGGTAGGGCGCAGATTCCCGACCGTAGTTCAGGTCTCGCCTGTAGTTCAGGTCTCGCCTGATGTCTATCGACGATTGACCTAGATGCCATCGAAAGTGCCGGTGTGACTGTCACCTCGCCCGGTGGGTCTGTCTGAGTGCTTGTGAAACCTTGATTGTCAGGCTTCTCACATGTGCCTCGAATCGGGTTCAGGCTCGCACAGTGGACAAGTCGATTTGAGCTTCGCTCATTTCGCTACTTTGAACTTACCACTAAGTAGGTTCGCCCCCTGAGGGCAAGTGCGAGATAGAATCGCTGCTGTGTTGCCTCAGGTGTTGTCCATGTCGACTACCCGAACCGCTGGAGTTCGGCCTCGAGGGAAGCCTGCTTCCAGCACGCATCCGGGACAAGGCCTCACACTCTCCCTTAAGTCTGCCGCTCTTTTCCCTTCACAGCTCAACGCTGTATGCTCCACTGGCGCATCTCTCAGCTTCGCTGAGGGAGCTGGTGGAAAGGGGAGAGAGCCGCCGGTGGAATTTTTCGCCGGGCGACTCTGGGCGGCATCTGACGGGGCAACTCTCATCTGGCTAGGGACTGCATTGTAGCTGTGCCAGTCAAATGATGAGGGCGGTTATGGGCATATACCGACAGTTTCGAGGAATACGGAAGTCTGTTGAGCTTCGCTACTTCCTCAGGTGCCCAGGCATCGCAAACGCTAAGCTGCCGACTGCTGGGTTACTATATTCTGCCGCGAACACCGGGCGGAGCCGACACACACTCCTGTGTCGGCTTCCCGAGACGGCGACAATACCCGCGCCCAGATCCAGTCTTTGCTGGGCTAGGCAACCAGTGTGGTGGTTTCCAATGGTCAGGAATATGTGGGGTTTGACTCCACTTATTTCATAGTTGCCATTACTTAACGGAATGTTCAGACCCATTCTCATCTGAGAGCTGAACAAGTTTATAGAGGTACTGTCCTTCAAGATGGAGACACCGCCCGGTGATCTCATCTGCCGAGACAGGGATTGGCGACGCCAATCGACCTCGGTGGTCGCTGCACTTCCTTGTTCCATTGCACCCTGATTTCAAGATTTACCTTCGGGTTTCTTGTTTGACGGACGCGCTACCAGTTTCGCGGTGCTCTCCTTAGGCTACATTACGGTGCCAAGGGTGTTCACCAAATTGAGGTTTATTACAGCTCAGATAGCCAGATCGCAGTGCCGTGTTGTCACCCGCATATAGGCGACTGACTCATCGTGGGTTTCAGATAACTGTTGAGTCTGGGGACCTCACGATCAGTTACTTAAACTGGGCGGAATTGTCAACCTCACGCAGTCAGATGGACAGACGCCAGGCGCTCTCCGAGGGTCCCCACCCCTGGAGACACCGCCGCTTCAGTCCAGCCAGATACATCCCTACCGGTTAGGGCGATGTTCTGGGTGACCTGCAGCCTCTTGAGACGGTCACAACCTGCACATCAATGTGCTGGAATTGACAGCAGTCAGGTTGGTGTTCGATCCCGCACGCCGGATCTCGATTACCTCTTCGCCAGACATTCTCACTTGCACGGGCGCCACACCAATCCTCGATTCACTGGGTGGCTTGGCCTCTGTCGGGTATAACACACGGAATTCCTGCAACCGCTGCAGACACAATTCTGCCTGGGATTCGGCAACTGCTGCTCAGTGTGTTGATAGGTGGGCGCTGCTGGTGTGCAGATAGGGGATTTCATAATCCCTATTCTGGCGGACTTAGTTCGATATTGGAGTTACTATAACCTCGCTTTGGTTGAGAGCCTTATGACCTCCACCATTGCCGGGTACTCCATGGCTATTTCCACGCTTCACACCTCGCTCGATGGTGCTCTGCCTAGGCAGCATCCTCTCGCATATCGTCAGAGCTGGCATGAACAGGGTTCGACCGCTTCGCCGGGCTAATTCCAGCCCACCTTAAAATTGCCACTTATTCACAATTGGCTGTCTGGCCCTAATTTTTCAAGTATATCGCCTCTCTCACTTCACTTGTTGACGGAAGACGACTTTACTTGTTGTGGTGAACTCTGGTAGAAGGGTCGGGTACATCCATGCGATTCCCACTGACCCGACACTGACAGTATTTTATACTGATCATGTCCGTGATTCGACTCGGATACCTACCACTCTCAGTGCGCGATATTGCTTTCCACGCGACTGCTCATATCGCACTTTCCACCCCTTACCCAGCCTTTCGCGACCGGGACCAATCTTTCGATTGCTCACCCGCGTTCTGTCACTTAACTTAACTAACAAAAGGGATCCGTATCGGGTACCCATGTGTGCTGTTTGGTGGCGGAAGACTGGGGAGTCTGCTAGCAAGCGACTTTTTATCTCGCTGGCTTGTTTCCGTGAATTGTATGGTTACAATGATACGGTTTACCTCCCCGAGGGGTTGAAGGCAGACTGTAGGGCAGATGCCGCTTTGTTGACAATACACAGCGCACTGCTCAATGAAGAGATCGGTTCTGTCGCCTTTGGAGCCAGCAGAACGCTTCATTCGCCATTACCAACTTGACACG